CTTGTAGGATTGCTTCTTCGTGTGTGTGTGGGTGGGTGGGTGTGTAAGTGTTAGTCGTGTGGGGATGCCCCCTTACGGGGGCGTACGTGTCTTTTGGTGTATTTGTCTGTCTGGTATATTGTTTGTCGGGGGTCGCAATTTTAAAGAAATGTATTTTAAAGTAATGCAAATAACTGATAAATAAGTTAAAACTTACCTGGGCATAACCCCGGGACAGGTACCTGAACAAAGATGCCGACGGCCTCTATGCTTAGCCGGGGATTAGGTCGGTGATTAAAAGGAAAGAAAGGGATTCTTTCCAGGTAGCCTTAATAAAGGCAGGTAGATTTTGCTCGTTGCAATCACTTCACCTCACAAACAAGCACGTCCGCTCAGCTCGGCTGTTCGCATTGAACTGTTAGAATGACGTATTACTAATGGGAGGGCTGGAAAATTTTCAAAAAATTAAAGTGTATTTCCAGAGGCGGTCCACCCCTAACGCATCCAGGTTCTCACGCGAGGGATAGTCGGTGTTTGTTCAAATGCCTCCGGCAAGGGGGGAAAACCACATTAAGAGGTTGATTATCAGGTGTTCCTCATGAATTTTTTTGAGCTGGACAAATTGATCAGAATTTGACGAAACTTTGACATTATTTTATCAACATTTTGAACTACATTTACAAGGTCATAAGTGGTGTGGAGGTAGCGATTTCGATCTGAGAAACCTCATGCGGGCAAAAATTAGGAAAATTTAAGTTACATTTTTCTCAAACACATGGCAGTTCCAAAACTGAAGTCGGTAATTCTCCAGCCTTTACGTTTTTCGAGATTTTCAAATTTTCTCAAAAACAAAAGTAGAAAAATTTAAGGGCGGGCCGAAATACCTACAGCTCCGCCCTTAAATTGAAAATTTTCATGGACTATGGATTTTCTCAAAAATTTTAGGGTTCAGAAAATTCTGAACCTGTAACGGCCTTGATAAATCCAAAACTGCACTCGGTTCCTCTCAAACTTCTACAGTTTACGAGATTTTCAATTTTTTTCCTTAACGGAAGAACTGGTATAAAAACCAACCATCCCGGCCTGTTCAGCGAACTCAGTTATGAACAAAATCGCCTTTACAAGGGTACTTTAATTTTTTGACAATTTTGCGCCGTTAGAAATACATCGTTACAATTATTTCTTCAAGTAACGATTCAAGATTTTGTAACAAATTTAGCACATTGAAAGTAAAATTTAATTGTTTTTCTGACGGCAAAATAAAAAACGACGATGTGTAAGACACTTTTATAATAATCTACGTATTTTAAACACAAAAATCGACTACCCGAAAATATTAATTGAAAATTTTTAAGTCATTAAAAATTAAAATTAAACGAAAATGTTTCGGACGACAACTTTTTAAAAAAGCTAAATCGTACTATGGTTAACTGGTCTAAATCGGTTTTCTTTAACCCAAGGAAACTACCGATGAAATATATTTCCAAGGCAACCTTTGCGGCAGTATAATTTTATTAACGAAATTAAATATCTGCGAACACTGCATGTTTTATCCGGCCAACCTCTATATGCATCATGGAATGTAAACGGGGCCTTCATAAATAATTACAAGCCCCGTAACCAGTAACAGTAACTTTGTTTGGAACAGTAATTTAATAAATCCCATGGAAAAGAGCACTCTCAGTTTTTCCTGAATTTTTCAATGTTCCGAGCAACTTTTCCAATATTTCTTTCCTTTAAAACCTTATCCGGATTATTACAAACATTTAACAAAAGAAAACTAGCTAAATCGGTCCAGCCGTTCTCAAGTGATTCGCTTACCAACGAACAGCAAGTTTTATTTATATAGATTTAACTTACAGTTAGGATACGTGATGCGGTCTTTTTTACCTTAATTTATAGTATAGTAACACACTTTTTTTTTCTTATAATACTTTTTGTTAAAAGAATACTTGATTGTATGTATCTATTTAATAGAATCGGAGAAAATTAATCAAACTAATAACAGCAATAACTAAAGATGACCCTCTTCTGGTGGAAAAAGTGTCGAAATTTTACATTAGGTACATTTTAATTACCATTTTCCAGCAAAATCGTAATATGACGATAGTCTAGATAGGTATGTAACTTTAATTTCAAAATGAAAATGAAAATTGAAGAGAAATGTCACGATTTGTATTCAAGTATTCAAAATTTGATACATCTAGTTTTTGTTAAAATAACTATTAATCCAGTTTTTTTTGCAGCATTTTACAAAACTCTGGACATATGTGGGAAGTAAAAATATGGAGTTTGCCCCCATTTAAGGACGTTCGATACACCTCTTGGGGGGCGGGCGGGCGGTGCGGAGAGTATGCCTATGTTTATACACGGGAGTCTTGTTGCAGTACCAACTTTACATAAATTAATTTCAGCGAACTAAGTATGCTATTTAGAATGAAATTTATACAACACATATTAGCTTGCATATTTTTTTCGTGTTTAATACACGTCCGTTCACTTTTTATTTGAATAAAAGTGTCTATTTATTCATTACGAGCTTGTAAAATTATGGATGAAATCTGGCAACATTGCCATGGCGTGGTGGTAAAAGTTGGGTCAACTGTCATTACTGTCAACTTTGCGCGAATTCCGTAAACATGAATGAACAACCAAGGTACAAAGGAAAAGTAATGACTGAAAAGCAATATAAAATGAGTGTAAAAGAGCATGTGGATTGATGAGAATAAAATAAAATGTGCAAACCGAGAATCCATATGATAACTATCAAGAAGTTCAGTGTATGATAGTGAGACGTCGACTTGTCAAATTGAAGATTATGACATAACATCTATACTGTTCGTTTTGCAAAGAGATCCTTTCAATTTTTGTTTCAAATTGCTAGTATATTGCTTTAGATCACGAAAAATGTATTTAATATTAATTATTACTACATATATTTTCGACTGGAATAATTTTATAATCTATAATCCAGCTATTCAAATACATATAACGCATCAGTCGAAGCATTAAATACAGCGTACAGTGTTGCCATATTTCCTTTCATTAGATCAGATGTTTGTTCAAATTTGTCAAAACGTTATCTATTCATTCCATTATCTCAATAATTACATTATAAGTGCATATTTTTATTGTTTTAAAATGTTTAGTAATATTTAATTCTTTAATTATAATTTTATTTTTCCGATCCTAACCATTTTTAAGAGCAATATTCACATTTGATTAAAGTTTTTTCCCAACTCCCATAAGAGCCTGTGTAAAAGAGCATAATTTTTAAAATCATTTTTCAAAAAAACTACGTTGTCAATCGATCTGATATTTTTGCACAAGTCAGTTTGCATATTTATTAACAGATTTCAGTTGCTTTGAAAACATTCTTACCATTTTTCTTTTGGTATCGAACCTCCTTAAGCTACTTCGTACCTCTTACCGTTTCCGAGATCCCTGTAGTGAGAAGCGAATTTGTAACAGCCTGTATGTATGATACGAAATTAAACTCCTTTTTTCTCGAAAACAAATGCTCCTAGCAATGTCAACTAATGTTTGTCAACCTTTTATACTTGAAAAAAAGTTGAATCCTTTCATATCTATAATATATGGCAAAATACTAATCAAATTTGTAATGTCAAAAAATATTGAAAAATAATTTTCCATTTTTAATCCCATTGTACGTTTTGTTATTATTAAATTTTGCACTAAGGTAAGTAGGTTAGACGGGCTAAATTCGACACCAGGAATCTCCTATTACAGTGTAGCCCATTTGTTACAAAACACCCCACCCCGTATATTCACCCACAGTTATTCTACAATTAGTAGTATGTAGAGACTGACCGATTAATCGTCTTCGGCCACATTCGGCCATTATTTAAACCTTCGGCTAAGAATCGGCTTTGGCCAAAATTAAGCCGAACTTTTCGCTGAAGCTGAAGGTACCGTTCGGGATGCCGCTGGACTTGTCAAATCTAATCAAATTAGGGTTAAATTGGCCCCTTAACGCTACAAATAACACTGCCAAATTACAACAAAATTGGGTAAAAGGTGTTTAAGATATTTACGAAATGGCATTTTTTTATAAAAGATTAACACCCTGTATCTTGAAAACGAAGCATCTGCGGTCCAATGTTTATATGAACTTTTTGTATTAAAATGACTTAAATAATAAACCATAACTACCATAACCATAAACCGAAGTTCGGCTTCGGCCAAAAAAAACACATTCGGTCGGTTTCTACCAATAGGTTTATGAATCTATCGATTAGTATTGCGATACCCACCGTACACGTGCCACAAGAAAGATGCTCATAATGACTTCTTTATACTTGTACTTTTTTTACATTCAGTCTTCATAAATGACATTAAACATCAAATTTGAATTAGTGGAATCCCAATTCACCGCCACCCCTGCCACCCATAAGTTAAAATATTTCCTTTAACAGTCTGTTTATTATTGTGGCATCAAAGTCCTATTTATTCTATTACTTAAGTAAAAAAAAAAACATTTTATTTATACACATTTCCATACATAAAAAAAAACTATAAAATCCAACACGGATCTTCCTCGAACAATACAAAAAGAAAATATATGCCTATTCCTTAATTTAGTGAAAGAGAGTATACACATAATAATTATATATACAGAAATCCTGTAGCCCTTTCACATATAAGGTTTTTTTTAAGGATTGTACGGTTTCGGATGCTAACGGTGAAAAGGCGGAGGAGGACCATGATGATGGTGAGGTCCTGAAAGAAAAAAAAAAATATATAACATGCATTTCCTTTGGAGGATACGAAATTTATACATTTTTATGAACAATTCGACATATTGTTAAATAGGCGATGGCGTTGTGTGTACACAGTGTGAACACATTTCAACATTTACTTAACAGCTAGACTTGGCATACAGAATGAATAGCAATGAATATGTAATTTACAAAGAGGGTCGGGAAAAGGAAATTTAAATCGATTTGAAGCCGATATTGATCGGAAGCACCTAGAATCGATTTAAAACAATTGACTAGGAAATTATCTCTACTAAATGGTGTACAAGGGGTGGGACGTTAAAAAATAAAACAGGTCAGAAGCTAGTTTGGATTAGCAATATCTTTACATTTGCAACTCGCTACCACATATGTATGTATAAGAGTGCCCATCCAGAAACGTTATTAAAAAAAAACTCTTAAAAATACAGATTTAACTTCCACGTCATTAAACCTTTAACGATTTCATTGACCTTACAATTCAGTTTTTTCTATTCCCACAAAAAAAATACCGTTGTGCGTTTATCAACCACGTTTAGTTTTCCCGGAAATAATTTTAGTTACTGTAAACGTCCATAAACTTTTTCCAAAAATTTAAAATGGTCTTTTCGAAAATCCAATGCTACTAAAATGATAAAGATTTTTTTTTGATAATGTCCCTATTTTATGTCAGTTAATTTCGTTCATTTACAATGTAAACTTTCAATTTTATGTAATTGTATATGTTAAATTTGTGTACAGTAAGACCCCGCTTAACGCTGTTTCGTTTAGCGCTGTTTCGGTTTAGCGCTCTTTTATTTCAACCTGGGGATTCCCCGAAATTGCTCGCAGTGCTAAGGGGATTCCCCGAAATTGTGCGCAGCGCTAGGTTTCCAAATATGTACATAACCTATCCGAAACAGTGTAGAAACTTTCGATGGCGTTTGTAAAAAGGAGTTTGACCACTATAACTGAAATTATGGACCAATTTGTTGAAAATGATCCAAATTTTGACGAGTTCAAAAGCAAGACGGGGTGTTATAGATGCTTTATCCACTTATCAACAACTTTTAACAGAACGCAAAAGGAAAACGCAAACTACATTAGATGCCTTCTTGACAAAAAGGCAGAAAATTGGAAACAGAATAGACTGAATGATCTGACTGACTTAGAATTTTATTTGTTTTTATAAGTAATATTCATTTATATTGTTTTTATTTTTGTAAGAAATAAATGTTTGGTTTTATTTTTATTAAAAAAAAACATAATTATTAAATTTAATACCTAACCAATTTTCTATCAATCTTCCCCTAACCCCATTATTTACATGTTAAGATAGCTTTGTTTAGCGCTGTTTCGCATTACGCTCTACTTTGATGGAACATATCCTACGCGTTAAGCGGGGTCTTACTGTACTTTATATCTAATTTGTCCTTCTTGTACCAGATTTAGATCTTACTAAGGCTTTCGGATCATTTATCTTACGAAAATAGTCAGCAAATTTTGTATTGATTACAAATTTGAAAAACGAAACTGAAAATCAATATTTTTATTCGGAACTATGCAGTGTTTCATGGCGCGACAATGGTGTGCTATGAACATAAGCGAATAAATAAATAAACAATTAAATTCTAAACTGTATTTTCAAATAATGTAAAAATATACTTACTAGGTCTAAGTGGGAAAAAGGGTGGAAGCCTTGGCCTGCCCAATCCTATTCATGAAAAATTTTAATATTATTTATTTTTTCCTTTTTGAAAAGATAAGATAATAAAATCTGAATCTGGTACCTGTCAATGTTAATTTTACTGGGTTAGCACTTATTACAGTATGTGTGTTATAATGTGTAGACAACAACCACCCGAACTGTAGAGGAAAATGTGAAAGTTTATGTGAATATATGCGATATTTGACTTACCATTCCATCTAGGCTCACCTTCAGAGGTGAGGACCTATAAAAATTATGTACGTGTGTATACGGTGTATAAGCAAAATGCTCAGTCATGCTCTAATGGCGGATTCTATATCACAAATTAACGAAAAAATTTGTGTATAAACGGGGACCGATAAACGCTACATTTTTGACAAACGGAATGTTATATAATTATATAATTGAAAAATAATAGTATTAAGTTAGAGATACCCAAAATGTGTATGTAAGTATGTAAATAAAGGTTTAAATCTACAATTGAAATTAATCTTGACTATTAGCACAATGATTAGGATTTATTTTTAATTTTCTAATTACATAAGTGTTCATTGAGCGGACTCTATAGCAAATAGGCCACCAACAATACATTTTTATAGATTTTTATTACACAGTCTGTCTAAATACGAATTAATGCAAAAATAATCGACTTTCCTCCATTCTAACGCAGATTTTCTATGAAATGGACTTAGTTTGAAACTCAAATTACTTTTTGTTGTGAAGAAATTTGAAATTAGCCCCTTTTGAACATGCGGCATCGTAAATTATAAATTTCTTCACACCAAAAAGTAATTTGAGTTTCAAACTAGGTCCATTTTATAGAATATCGGCGTTAGAATGGAGGAAAGTCTGTTATTTTTGCATTAATTCATATTTAGACAAACTGTGTCATAAAAATCTATCAACATGTATTGCTGGTTACCTATTTGCTATAAAGCCCTCTTAATTCAAACATCTAAAGTTTTAGCAGCCCTACCAATGTAGCAGGGCATTCGTTACATAATAAAATATAGAATCCACTTTTGGTTAATTTATCTTATCGATCTTTGGTTTTAGGAAAAAAAAAAGGTTTCATAGAAATGAAATTTTTTAATTTTGAACAATTTTAATTGGCATTTTTTGATATATTATTACATAAATCAGGTAAAGATTTAAAAGTGAATTTATCAATTTCAGATTTATAAGCTAGATTTATTTTATTATATAAAATTTTATTCATCACCTTGTGGATAATATTCGAAAAAAAAAACCGCCGTTAAAACATAATTGTTGTAAAATGGCAAATCTCCGCAATAAAATTGTTTCGATCCATAGGTATATTTAACAACCTGTGAACGTAACATCGAATAGCTGACATTTTATGTTGGAAAGGATGATTTGAATAACATAATAATATATAATTTTAATAATAACACACTATACATCTCTTTTCATTTCGTTGATATACGCCAGTGTGTACCATAAATACCAAAATGTCTGCAAATTTTTTTGAAATAATGACAATTCACGTAACCACTTTATTTACAAATGAAATAGAATATTTACGCGGCTCTCTCCAATTGAATTCCAAATCTGAATACCCGTATCTCTCAGAAACGAAGCGTTGCCAGACACAAATCTATAAGAACTCTTTTTATTGAATCGTGATGTGGAATACACCATTGGAGCATGGCCGAGCACATCAGTTATACCTGGCATATATATATCTACGCAATATAACTGGACAAAAAAAAAATGACCCATTCTTATATATATAAACTGATCAAAATAACCCATTTAGAGGGAAAAAAAAACGAAAATTGTTACCTGGACTTTCATAAGTGGAAATGGTAAAGGGGTTTATAATAAACGAAAAAAAAATAAGAAGAGGAAAAGTTATGAAATATTGTATCATTAGGATTTCTGGCGAAAGTTTACATCAGACAAAAAAGTATCTAATACAAAAGTTGTAGATCATGCAAAAATCTACAACTTTTGTAGAAGTCATTTTTTAACATAACCTCAAAATTTCCAAGAAAAATGGGAAAAATAGTTTTTTTCTGATTTTTCGTTTTTTATTTCTCATTTCTGCAAAAATAATTTAATTTTGACAAAACGGTCAAAGTATACCTTTCTCCGTCATAAATAACCTCAAATTTTTTTAGATAAAAAATCAAGAAGTTTCTGAGATTCTTTTTTTCGGCCTGAAACACTTTTTTTTTCAAAGAAAAATTCTACTTAAATTTTTGTACAGTATTGATATAAACATAAGTTGAATAGTGAATAAATAAAATAAATAATAATTTTGTTTCGGTAGGATCGATTAGTGTACTTATTTTTTTTTAAAGTTTGAAGAATTCATAGATATACAGTGTTTTTTATACCTAACAATATGCTGTATAGAAAGTTTTAAAATTCCGGGTAGTTCCGGAGATATTCGGAAAAACCGGAAATTTTGCAAAATTGTTTAATTTCTTCTGGCTTTATTTTAAATTAAATTACATATTCACAATGCCTCTTTTTTCGCTCTATACAATGGCGCAACATTTTTGCAATCCGACGTTTCGTCTTCGAGGGGCCATCATCGGGTTAATTTTTAAAAATAAGTCTGCTATTTTTATGACAAAATCTAAAGGCATTTTTAATTCTGAATTAGAGCATATTACTATATTGTAATCGCTTAAAAAGTTTTTAGCTTGTTTTAGCTATAATTTAAAATTTTTCCCGAGTACGGCTCTGAACGCTTTCAAAATATCTATTGGATGAAGTCAACAGTATAAAAGTCAATACCGCACAAAATATCCGATTTTTTACTACTATTAGCAATACTAATTAGAAATAATAAAATATTTCATAAATTCGTATTATTTTTTTATTAGGTACAACTTTTTAAATTATGGATTAAAAAAAATTGTTGGATATTTTGTGCTTTATTCTCTCCTCTCTCTCTCTCTCTCTCTCTCTCTCTCTCTCTCTCTCTCCTCCAATAGATACAGGTATTTTGAAAGAGTTCAGAGCCGTACTCAGGAAAAATTTTTAATGATAATACAGAATCAAAAATGACAGCGATATATTTAAAAAAATTTATCTGATGATGGCCCCTCAAAGACGAAACGTCGGATTGCAAAAATGTTGACGCCATTGGATAGAGTGAAAAATGTGGCAATGTAAATATGCAATTTATTTAAAATTCGTTTTCAAATAAAGCCAGAAAAAAAATAAAACGATTTTGTAAAATTTTGGGTTTTCGGATTTCGCGTCAACAGTAGACTTTGTATTGCTGAAATCTCAAATCATCCAGAGATAATTTATCATTTGTGCATTTGTAATTCTACTTAGATGTTTATACTTAGCAATACTGTACAAAAATAAAGTTTTGGGTCGTCAAACAATGACAGTTTTTTTTTTTTGTTTTTTTTTCGTAGAATTGAATGGTGCAATCAGTTTTTGATTTTTTTTTTAATTTAAACAAATTATCAACAATAACTGAAAAATTCATTGTATTAAGACATTTTTTTATTTCACCAAAAAGTATATGTCAAAACGAAAAAAATTATTACTGGCAGAACTCTGTACGATGATTTTTTTAAGTAGAATTTTTCTTTGAAAAAAAAGTGTTTCAGGCCGAAATAAATGAATATCTTAGAAACTTCTGGAATTTTTTATCTAAAAAAATTTGAGGTTATTTAAGACAGAGTAAGGTATACTTTGACCAAGTTTCGTCAAAATTAAATTATTTTTGCGGAAATGAGAAATAAAAAACGAAAAATCAGAAAAAAACCTGTTTCGCATTTTTCTCAGAAATTTTGAGGTTATGTTAAAAAATGACCTCTAAAAAAGTCGTAGATTTTTGCATGATCTACATCTTTTGTATTGGATACTTTTTTGTTTGAAGTCAACTTTCGCCAGAAATCACAATGATACAATTTTTCATAACTTTTCAACCCCCAAATTAACCCTCCGTCGCCCCTGCTCACACATTTATTTTTTTTCCGTTTATTATAAGCCCTTTTACCATTTCCACTTGTAAAAGTCTGGGTAACAATTTATTTTCTCGAAGTGTCATTTGGTTGGACTAATTTTTGGAGGAAAATTTAATGTTTTAACATTTTTTTAACACCCCGTTACATTTTATTACATAACGATATGATTACTGCTCTGGTTTTTTAGCAAAAGAAACTTTTTCTCGGAAAATCAACAATAGACACACCGTATAAACAAAATTCCTAAATATCTCATTACAGACAAATATTTGCGGGTTATCAAGTAAATAAATAATTCCACCTCGAAACTGAACAAACAAAAAACAATTTTTATCAGCCAGATATACTTTACGATTTATTCAGATTAAATGATGAATAATAATAATGATGGATAAGTAAAACCCGTTTTATTGGAATTATTTCTAGATAAGAAGATAAGGCGAACGTGTGACATTTTATAAAACTCAAATATATTCTTTAACGCCCAGTAATTCGTAACTGTCTTACGTCACAATTGTCGTCTTATTTGCAATAACGTTCAGGATTTTCTCAACGTGCCACATAGAAACGAGCAAAAATTAAACAAATTGTATGAAAAACAAAAGGAGAAAGGCCACTAACCTGGTGGCGGCGGGGGTCCATGGTGATGCGGTGGGGGCGGCGGTGGTCCATGGTGATGCGGCGGCGGCGGCGGTGGCCCATGATGGAAATGGGGCGGCCCGGGCGGAAGAGGTGGCCCGTGATGGTGGGGCGGCGGAGGAGGTACGTGGTGGTGCGGCGGAGGCGGCGGTCCGTGGTGGGGGTGCATGATGAGGTTCAGCTGCGGCGACCGGAACAATTGCTGGTGACTGTGACTCGTCTGGATAGATACTACGTTGGGCAGATAAGGCTGGATGTTATTTATAGCCGGCTGTGGTTGGGGTTTCATTCTGGGGGGGAAGATGTGGGGTGGGGGGGAGCCTGGCGGGGGCGAAGGAGGCGGGAGGCCGTCATCTTCGTCCGATTCCTCTGTTTCGGGGCGTTTCTTTATTATCTTTACCTGCAACGGTTACACTTGTTATCAGCTACAAGGGTACGATTAATATATCATACAGTTATTATACATCAACTTGTAGGCCTTTTAAAGATTATAACTGATAAGGTACAGGCGGATACAATTTCAAAACTATTTATGAGCTATTGGAAATGAATGCTTTTACTATCGTCATATTATTACTATGAGTTGGATAATTAGAACTGCTGTTTCATCTCAAACTATTTATTTGCGGCGCTGTTTGGATAATTTCATTCCAGCACATAAACAGAAAACATATCCATTCAGACGTTTTTTTTTTTTTTTGTAAAATTTCACAAATTTTTATTATGTTTCATAATAAAAGGAACCAAATTATAATATAAGGAAATATAGAAATGACTGATACTTTTCTATGAATAATTAGTCTCTTAATAATATTCAGGTTGTCACAGATATAAGAGCTGAGATTATAAACGTATACAGGCATGTGCATGTAGGGGTGTCCAAAATATTGTAATTTAACCAAATTTACCTATATACAAAGTTGCACCCCTGAGGAGTTTTTAGCCCTCAAAGTGGGGCCCTAAATTTTGAAAAAAATTAATATCTGCAACATTTTGCCACAGAATTACCAAATTTGGTACATGATTTGGGTTTATTATAGGTCTTCTTTGATTATGATTTTAAGTTAATTGAAGCACTACAAACTGTGTTCATTGGGGATGACTCACCCATAAAATTGTTAAGAACTTTTTCTTCATTGACCAAATTGAAAAATGGTAATATTAATTCACAGCAGACTTTTTTAAAATTTAAAAATTTTTATTACTCGTTAAATTAAAAAAAACTGTTTTTTTCTAAATTTAGGGCCCCACTTTGGGGGCTAATAACTCCTCAGGGGTGCAACTTTGTATACAGGGTGTTCCTAAATAAGCGTCGCAACGGAAAACTGTAAATTCCTCTTGAAAAAAGAAACATTTTTCTCCTCTTCCATTTTTCTCACCGGGCTTTCGTTTTTGAGATAACACGGTGTCAAAACTTTAATTTTTTTTTAGTTTTTCGCCAATATCTTAGGAATCGTTTGAACTACAGGACTGAGCTTTTGTACACACATTACCACTATTAATAGCTACTTTTTCGCACCCTTCTCGAATTCATTGGACGTGCCAGTGGTGGAGATTTTAAGGTATCGTAAGGGTTTTTCCCCCCCTAAATTTTACGCCACTGGAAAAATTGACTTTTGACAGCAAATTCTAAAGCGCCAATGAATTTTACACAATAAGAGTTCTCTTGGTTCATTGCTCTAAAGTCAACCGTTTTCAAGAAAAATGACTTTTTATGAACAAAAGCAAACATTTTGCTAACGTTTCGAAAATTTTTTACATTTTGCATTTTGCATTTTGAACATTTTGCAAGTGCAAGTAACTGAACAGAACATCCGGAGAACGAAATGCATCGTTTATGAAATCCATGTCAATACTATCGAAAAGTTGACCGATAGAGGTGAAGCCGCAGCGGCAGAAAGAAACATGATTAGAAGATGTAATGCGTGCATTCAAGCCAACGGACGTAATTTTGAACAGTTTCTGTAAATTTTACTCGCCAAATTGATAAAAAAAAGTTAAAATCCTATCTGTTGTTAAATTTCGTTAAAATTGTTAATTATTACTACCTATTTTTTGAATTACAAAAGATTTTCGAAACGTTAGCAAAATGTTTGCTTTTGTTCATAAAAAGTCATTTTTCTTGAAAACGGTTGACTTTAGAGCAATGAACCAAGAGAACTCTTATTGTGTAAAATTCATTGGCGCTTTAGAATTTGCTGTCAAAAGTCAATTTTTCCAGTGGCGTAAAATTTAGGGGGGGAAAAACCCTTACGATACCTTAAAATCTCCACCACTGGCACGTCCAATGAATTCGAGAAGGATGCGAAAAAGTAGCTATTAATAGTGGTAATGTGTGTACAAAAGCTCAGTCCTGTAGTTCAAACGATTCCTAAAATATTGGCGAAAAACTAAAAAAAAAATTAAAGTTTTGACACCGTGTATCTCGAAAACGAAAGCCCGGTGAGAAAAATGGAAGAGGAAAAAAATGTTTCCTTTTTCAAGACGAATTTACAGTTTTCCGTTACGACGCTTATTTAGGAACACCCTGTATAGGTAAGTTTGGTTAAATTACAATATTTTGACACCCTACATGCACCTGCCCTGTGTCGGTTCTTATGCGAGACACCCTGTATATTTAACTCGTCAAAAGCAACAACTTTTTATGTAATAATTTTTTCAACACCTTAACATGGTTATCCAGTATTACGGGTTAAAAAAAATTCCCTAGAAGCATTTCAGATTCGACAACCATGAAAAATGAAAAACGTACGTTGTACGATAGACACAAGGCATGCAGGGATGTGTCATTCAGGAACTTTGGGATCACAGATCTCTTAACGGTGAATTGGAACCTTACCGAAGATGTATCCTTGGAGAAAGTCAGGAATAATCCTGAAACTAGCCCTAGTAAACTACAGCATAATGGTGTATTTATAAAGAAAAAGCAGTTTTGCCATCTGCCTCAAGATTATCATCGACAGCATTGTTGTAACTAGGTATTGCGAAAATTTTGAGTAAATTGTGGACCAAAATACTAAACGAACGGCCCTTATATTATACCAGATCGGTTAGACGACGGTGCTCCTAGCGAAAATGCCAGAATTATACGAGATCTTGGATGGTGGATTGCACGAAATGATACAATTGTATGGCCCGCTCAATAAATGGATTTCAATACGTGTGCCCTTAGGGTCACTTGAAACAACTGGAAATAATTTGGAACAACTGCGAGAAGGAATAAAGAATGCCGCCTGAATAATCGCAATAACTAAGATATCCTAGTAAGAGTAGAAGAAAATTTTCAACACTGTACAATTACACCTCGACAATAATGGAGAACAATAACATTGTTGATTTCTTTTTGGTGATTACTATTAACCATTTTAACTAGTTTATAATAATTGGTATTAGCAATTTTTTTTCCAAAAAACAGATTACGTGTTCTCATTCAGGACCCCTTAAAACGTCTTATCACCAAGTTTCATCAAATTCTTCATGCGAGCACTCCATGATGTTGCGCTTAAATGTGGTGCAAACCTGTAACTTTTTTATTTTTTGGCCAAATTCAATTTTTTTTTTTTAGAATGTAGAGTAACAAAAACTGTCTAACTGTGATACTGTTGTTTTTATTATGGCCAACTAGGACATCATGGAGTGCTCGCCTGAAGACGTATCGAATTTGATGAAACTTGGTGGTAATACATTTTAAGGGATGCTGAATGAGAATATGTAATCTGTTTTTTGGAAAAAAAATCGCTAATACAAATTAGCCGTTTTGATATCAAAAAAACGCGTCCTAGTTGGCCGTGTATTGCATTAATAAAAAGATAAATTATTCTTCAATAATAACCGAAACATTTCTGCATATTTTTGTTGTGAATCAACTAAGCGTTTCAATTTATGCTGTACAGGGGTGAAGTTTTTGAAAAAAAATGTGGTTAAAATTGTCACTTATTTCTGGGTCACCATATATATATATAACCACCAATTGACGACATCCCCAATATATATATTTGTTGGTCTCTAACTTAATCGTCAAGATTAACCGTATCATTTCAATTGATAGGAATGGGGTTTTACCAGGATATTACAAGACAATTTGGACAGCAAACCACTAAGAACTTGAAATTATGGGTGAAGAATAATACAAAATTAGCTTCAATGAAAAATAGAAGAATTTTTTTATTAAAATGTAGAAAATTTGGATTGGTTCCCACACATATACAAAACAATACCAGAAAAATGTCTAGTCATTTCGAAATTTCAGATGGGAGAGCTGGCAGTTCTGTTTTAAATTTTCAAAAAAGGTTAGATTCCAAAATTCTAAATTTAGAAATTTCAGTGACACTGGCAACTATCCGGACTGTTGAAAAAATACAATCAAATTTAACAAATTCGGTTGAAAATTCTCTTCCCATGAANTATATATATATATATATGCGTACATTATTAATATATTTTTTTTTGTACCATGGAGAATACGAAACTTTTGCATACAGAAAAATAAATGCCTATGGAGTTGGCAGCTAGTAATTCTTTTAATTAATTACAGTTCTGCTATTTCCTAAACTTTATCATCTCCTGAAATATAATATGTTGATTCATGTTTTGTTTATTTTGAGAAAAAGAGATTAACGATATCACAAAATTATCTGGTTCTGGGTACTGTTCAATGTAAGATAAGCATTGTAACTATAAATAAAACAGATATTGATTTTACTGATACCGAGGAGTAATTTTCTATAACAGTAATATAAAATGCCTTCACATAAATATAAAAATTCTTTTGTAATATTTACAAAAGGAACAAAATAGATTCTTTATTTTCATACTCATAATAATAATTTTATATCACGTACAGTGTCTTCGTTCCGACCATAGTGGAGTCAAGATAGCTTAAAATTACGCGTTACATATTTCGAAATAATTATGGGAAGCATGGATTTTCCTAAAACCTTTTGAAATTACTTGGAGATAAGTATTAGGAAAAAGTTATAAACTTATTTTTGTACGCTAAATTGTTTTTTAATAATTGTTTAAACAATAATAAATAGTTTTTTTAAGAACATTTAAAATAATTCAATGAATTTTAAATCGAATTCTTTCAAAATGACAATACAGGGGTTTTCGATGTCGCTGAACAGGAATATGATGTCGGAAAATGAAAATTCAAAATGACTGATCCAATATGGACGACTATTTTAAACAATTTATTTAACAATTATCGATTTTAAATCAAACTCGCTTATATTTGTAATATAGGGGTTTTTGACATCGCTAAACAAGAATATGATGTCAAAAAATGAAAATTCAAAATGGCTGATCCAATCCTCGCTCATATTTGTAATATAGAGGTTCGAAAAATGAAAATTATAAATTGCTAAAGACCATTCACCTCACCCCGTATAATGATTGCAATCAATCAAAGAAAAACTAAGTGTGCTGCTGTCATGCCAGTTGTCACAATTAAATGGTGAAACATTTTATTTTTTTATTAATAAACGAAAAGTTTTAAAGGAAAATTGCTAGCGAGGTAAAAGTTTCTAAAAGAACCAGTTTATCTAATGTGTATTTTTGGATATCGAGTTTTTACGAAATATAAAAGTTATGGCAAAAAATGGCTTGAGGGGTGGTTATTTCAACCCCTTTCGAGGGGTTAAAATTTTCGAAAAATAGTTGAAAACTCGTATATGTATTAGTAAACAACCTGTAAAAAATTTGTTATTTGTACCTCGTTCGGTTTTCAAATTACAGCCAATTTTCATAATTTTTTTGGAAACTTTGATGGCCCATATCTCTTCAGGGGTGAACATTTTACTAAGGCGATTTTTTGCAGATCGTGTTCTTTTGAAATGTAGATTCACTGGTATCATTTATGCTATTCCATTCAAAAACACCCTGTATATTTCTATGTAGTAGTATATACCATGTGCGTGCTATACTCACCGATCAGGTTTCGAACTTATATTCACAATTGCAGATACAGAATAAACTTTATAAAAATTAATATTAAATCAATTAATCAAAAAACGTTATTTTTTTGCTGTTATAACAATTTTCCACTTATTACTATAAATAAAAAAAAAATATTTTTTGCTGGATTTACTTTTTTTAAGGTCTTAGCTTAATTCTTTGATGGTTTATTAAACAAAAAAAAAATTTTTTGTACATTATTAAACTTATTTAACAATAAATTTCACGGATTTTTCATAAAATATTTTTATTTTTTGTTTTTTCAAGAATTATTTAAATTTTTTAAGAAAAATAAAATGCACCATCTTAAAGTAGAGATTTTAAGCTTTAAAAAGTGCCCTCATAAAGTATAAATATCACATTTGCAACTATAGTTTTTGATCTATAAAGTATGGCCTAAAAAGTAAAATTTGTGATTTTTTAAAATTATTGAATATGTTGGGCTCAATATATTTCAAATTAAATTTTTAAGATTTTTTCCGTATCGCTCGCTGTTTCTATCGTCATTTGAAGAGAAATCTTTGAAAGTTACAGATATTTATTTTAAAAATTAAAAGAATGACAGCTATTTTATTATTATTGTACAAAATTATAGAATGACGTAACTTTGTATATGTACTATCTTTTTTCCTCTAGTTTAAAGACATACAATTCTGATAGCCAGATGACTCTTCTTTTATTTAAATTTTTGTGAGGTAGATTTGATCAATTAGATTAAAAGTTATAACAAATTTAGTGAAGCTAGCTCGGGGCCGCGCGCTCTTCGAGAGCTATACTTGGGGGCCGCCCGTCTCATTTTTCGTACGTTAGAAAAAAAATTCTACAGCCCTCAATTCGCATTTTAGAAAAAAACTTTATTAACATTTTTTATGTAAAATTTTCTGTTCTGGTGCAGTTATTTTTTTTTTAGAAAATTGTATTTTTTTATACATTTTGCAACTAATTTGTTAAATAAATAATTTAGCGTACACTCTACAGTTGGTAACTTTTTATATGTTGTTTCTGACAACTTTACAGAGCGAAAAATAAAAAGTTCTCTCTTCCCGTAATTTTCGCGAAGTCAACATCTATCATGACTCCACTACTAACAAAAAACAAAATTATGAAGGCGTTTGTAGTGGTCGTTTTTTATAAAAACTAATTCTTGAAAATCTCATAGGACCACAAAATATTTGTAGAAATATTTTTGGGCCATTTATGTTTGAAAAGCAGACCCAAAATAGCGGAGTTACGGCTTGCATAGTTTTTTTACAACACACCCAACATTTTAGAAGCGGTATACTCAATGGTACGATCTAAGCAGCATTTTTGATACTCTGATGATAACTTTCTAAGAAACTTGAAATACATTATGGAATTGCAAAATTGTTGAAAAAATTTGGAATGAATGGGAATAAATACGTACAAATGGGAATAAGTAGAAATATGTGGAATAAGAGTGGAATACACCGGTTTAGTGGCACGCGGATCATTCCCCTGGCCCAATAGTTTTCAAACGCTACGTATACAAATACAAAGACACATTAAAAAGGCGACAATCTAAAATACATCATCCTCACCTTGACCTTCTTCTTTTGGTTCTTCTTCTGCAATTTTGTCTTCTTGTAGCGCTTTTCTTTGGGCAGCTTCTTCCTGGGTGGCGGCGATGACAGCTCCTCTCCTCCCGAGGGGGACGTCCCCTCCCCGGGTCTCACCCCGTCGGCGAATTGCACCACCTTCCTTCTCTCCACTCGCGACAAGTCACCCTTGACACTCGCCCTCACCAGAATACCCTTGCCCGCCTCCTTATAAGGAAGGGAAGAGACAAGCGCCGGCAGAGGCGGCCACTGAGTTGGAGCTTCATTTACGATACTCTCATCACGTTCCTCTTCCAGACCTTCCGCTTCCAGTTCAAGGGCTCTCTAAACCAAAAAACGCACCATTGGATAAGTAAACTAAATAGGCGAATTATATTTTCAAGTACACGGTACTGAGAAATAATAACTACATAAAGACACAGATCCATATTGTACATACACACCACAAATAACATCAGAGAATAAAAATTATAAATTACATATATTAGGATCTGACTATACACCCTGACAAAAAGAAAAACAGACAAATTAAGAAATCACTAATCAAGACAAAAATTAATTTTCTTATTGTGGAAAACTTGGAAAATTAAGAATAAACTGCCTCTTTATACAATATGCAATGTGTTTCAATTAGAATATAATTAATTTTTTGTAATTAGATTATCTAAAGTAAAGATTTCACAAACAATTTAATATAAAGTGTTATGGAGTCCGCAAGGATATCGCAATATGTACTCTGTTATACTGTTAAAACAATTGCACATAATATAAGTAGGTGTTCGAATATACAGGGTGTCCCGATTAAAACTCTGACACATGTCAATTTTCTTTTCAAGGGGGGCCTTCTTCTTCTTCTTCTTCTCACTCAACATAGGGTGCTATTTAAAGTTTAAGGGTAGTTTAGGGCCCTGCCTAGGGAGTAGCTTCCAAGACACCTAAACTTACGCCATCACGATTTCATTAATTTTAAGGATCAAAAAATGACTGAAAAAGTTGCACTTTTTTTAGGTGTTTTTTTCAAATAACTATTTCAATTTTTATTTTATGAAAATGAATTTTAAAGAAAGAAACTGTTGATATTTTTTCACAAATTTGAAAAAAAAATTTTTTCTACGACCTTCTGGAACCGAAATAATTTTTTTATTTAAAAAAAATTTTGAGGACGCAATTAATATTGAATACTTATATTTTCAAAAAAAAATAGTAGGATATCTTGAAGCGGCGCGCGCTCGCTCTGAAAACTGATGATGTGCGGTCTAAATGGCTCAAACTTGCTAAATCTTTGATCTGAACCACGTACAAAAAACATTTACGGGACTATTTTGCTTCTAAGGCGAAAATGACTATAATATTCGTGTTTGGCTACCCCAGATTAAGTACAAAAGAATTTTTGTACGTGGTCCAGAAGCCGAGATATCATCAGTTTTCAGAGCGACCGCGCGCCGCTTCCCCCTACTTCTCCCTCCGGTCCAGAAATATACTAATACTAAAAATCAATATCCTATTTTTTTATTTTTTTGAAAATATAAGTATTCAATATTAACCTCCATCAAGCGCATCGCTGTAAAATGTTAATTGTGTCCTCAAAATTTTTTTTAAATAAAAAAATTATATCGGCTCCAGAAGGTCGTACGAAAACATTTTTTTTAAATTCGTGAAAAAATGTCAGCAGTTTCTTTCTTTAAAAGTCATTTTCATAAAATAAAAATTGAAATAGTTATTTGAAAAGTGCAACTTTTTCAGTCATTTTTTTTATCCTTAAAATTAATAAAATCGTCAACATTTTTTAACAGCATGATAATATAACTCTTTACGAAGATAATAAACCGAAAATCGTTACTGTAGTGCTATCCGCTGAGAAGATCTAGCCAATTTTCGAAAGCGCCTTTTTTTCAAAAAATCGATATATCTCGAAAAATATGTAATTAATATTTTAAAATTTTTCAAAAATATACTTTTTTGGCTTGTCGCGGGCTATGCTTGCAGTAAATAGCAAATATGGGAAAGTAAATGTAAACGAGTTATAGAAGAAGAGAAAAGAGAAGATTTTTAACGGTTTTTTCGATATATCTCGAAAAGTAATGCCATTTTGGATCGAGTTTAAAGAACAAGAAACTCAATTTAAAATTTAATTTTCTATACGGTCATATTTTTTTTGTCCAGGTAATAATTTCTGCAAGCATTTCTCTATAATGCCTGGACTATTAAGTGGCAAAGCTTTTGTAAAGACAGACAGAGCCTAGTTTGAGAACGATAAGGGCAGGTCAGATTTCTAGCTAAGGCCAAGGAAGTGTAACATAAGCCTGTAACTGGCGGCTATGTATATACAGGGTGTTAATGAATAGGTGTTACAAACGGATATGGTATGTTATTAATATCATGTTTGCATAATCAGCAGAAGTATATTCATTCATGATGTATGAATGTTTTAAACGAATGGATAAAGATATCTATCTAATAATTAAAACTTACAAACTAAACTTTACACTAAAATAACAATAATAATTAAAAACTGCCTCGTTTCACAATCGAAAATAATTTGACATTAAAATACAAGTAATGTCAACGGCAAACATTTTAAACTTGCTTGAGGAATACAGAAACCTTGAATGTTTTGTATCTCAAAAAGAAAAAGTGACACATGTATGCATTTACTAAACAATTTCGTGAAAAATTTACTCAACATGTCACTTTTTAAAAATTTTTGGTTTTTGGAGCATAAGGTGACCTCAGTAATTTAAATGTTAATAACTTGATAATTACTCATTTTATGGAAGTCTAACAAGTATACATTATTTACGTAAAAAATACTAGCAAATTCAAAAACATACAAAAAACTAATATTTGTACAGTGCCGCACAATTTAGGGGGGATAAAAGGTGAAACGACACCTATCGCACGCCACTGGAAGAAGCCGATAAATGGTTTCTGCCATATTTATGCATCCTTTAAGCTAGTAAATCTGTCTGTTGAGTTTGATAAAGAAATATTAACTAATACCGGAGCTACAGGAAAAAATAGTTTATTATTTTTAAATTTCAACGCCCTGTATCTCGAAAATGAGCCGCTTTAGGACATATGTTTATTATGTAAACTGCACTTATTTTTGGATTTTTTACATACCATATCCGTTTGTAACACCTATTCATTAACACCCTGTATATATATATATGTTGTCAAGATGTTTCCGGGTTCCTCTCCGCGTATGGTTTTCTTGATTCTGGATAGAATCGTGTTCTGGACGACGTTTCGGCAAGATCACACTTGCCATTTTCAAGTCTTCTTTGTTCTACTTCGTGTAATACGTTGTGAACTGGAACTAACCAGTTCACAACGTATTACACGAAGTAGAACAAAGAAGACTTGAAAATGGCAAGTGTGATCTTGCCGAAACGTCGTCCAGAACACGATTCTATCCAGAATCAAGAAAACCATACGCGGAGATGAACCCGGAAACATCTTGACAACACATATAATATCCGCGGAAATCTGAAGTTCAACATATATATATAGGTGCCGTTATAAGGACGCGAAAAACCATGGAACTTTAAATATCAGCATAGACTGTGAAACGGATTGATCTAAGATATACCGTAGAAGTGAACAATCCTCTCGTGAAGCTACATAAGTAAATACTTTAAAATCTGCTAGTCGCAAGGTCATTTATGAATATACGGAATAGAAGAGGACTCCAATTTAATCCTTGTACCCTAAAACCTACATTATATTCTATGGATCTTGTACCTTCACATTTGATAAATTGCCTGAAAAATTGCAAGAAATGTACACAATGTAAAACAAAATAAGCAAAAGAAAAGTTCAAAAGCACTTTCTTCTGAAGAATACCGACTAATACATAATAGATTAATTTGACGAGGAAACTCCCTCTGGTCTGCTGCAAAAATTTTACCAAATTGCTGCAGGTAGCATCGAGTAATTTTTTTTTTTTTATTGGGAACGTAGCAAAAAAAGAAAAGAACTGTAATATACCAAAAAGGCGACCTTTTCAGTAACTTTGATTTATTCAGCCTCGACTATTTTCTAAGTAACATTTCACAAAAAATGATTTATGCAAATTTTATCTGGCAAAACTCCAAGGGAAAATCTTAGAAAAATTGCCCAACACGGCCCTACAATCAATGATTGTAGACGGACCGCTTTGTCAAATATTACTATGGTCAACGAATAACCGCATTAGGATCTAACTTACCTTAATCATATTCTCTGTCCTCTGTTTCAGTCTCAGCTGCCTCTGTTTCTCCTTCTCCTTTCTCCTCTTCTCTTTCTCTTTCCGTCGCTTCTCCCTCTCCTGTCTCCTCTTCTCTCTCTCTTCTCTGCGCTCGGCTACCTTCAGTCTCATGGTAGATTCGGCCGATTGTTTCTCATAAAAAACAAGGGGGGGGCTGGAGGCAGGCGCAGTCTGCTCCTCAACCTCCGATTTGGGCTCAGCGGGGAGAGGGGGCTCGAGCGGTAGATCGGCCGGCACGATTTGCAGCATATTACCAACCTTTCAAGGGAAAAGTATTTTTGCTTGAATATTTAAACAGTGGAATAAGCAAATGACAAGATATATTTGGCAAAGCCCACTGTAATTTTTTATTGAAACGAATTTTATTTGCATATTTTTTCTTTATAATGACTTTTTTGCATACAGCAAAGCCTTTCCACTACCTTTTCCTATTACTCCCATCAACTACTTTTGATTTGATGGCATCCTTGATGCAACATTTTATTTAGCTTTTTTATAAAGTTTATAGACGTGTTGAAAATAACCAATGGTTTGCTTCTAAAATTTGGTATCATAAAATAATTGTATCGGTTTTTTTTTCCCAATAAAAAAAACCATATTTTTCTGAAAAGAATGGACCAGTCTAAAAAATCATACAATCATACCAGGCCTATCATTCGTGGCAATGCGAAAGCGACAGTCGCCAAATGATGACCTGTCAAGACAATATTCCGTCGATCCTACCACTATGAAAGAAGTGTTAACGCCAAAAATATTTATACATACAGGGTGGTATAATACTTAAAAACAGACAGATTAAAAAAATATAACAATTTGTAAAACGAGACACCTCTGTATTTCTGGCTAAAGAAATCAGACTGAGAACTGGGTAATTTTGTGCTAAAATTTTCTCACAAAGGGTCCATTTTATTAACATTGGCAGTTTGAACAGAGAATAATCTAGATCACCTAATTTATTTCAATTGCGGTAGTTTCCAATTGGATATCTGCTCGTGATTAGCATACGTGGTTATTTGAGGTTAGGTTAGGTTGCTAGCTTTTATCAAATTGCGAGATATTGGAGCTTATTGATATTTTGTATCTGCTTCATATTTCCTTGGTACACTAATTTCTCCATTCCATTTGTTACTGCAGATGTTGTAACTATCTTTCCTTCAGAAATTACAAAAAAATAAGCAATACAATATTCACGTATACGAATAGAGCAGTCAGGTAATGTACGCCTAAGTGAGCAAAATATTTATTTACCATTTTTGTGCTTAGACTGCTAGGTCTCAAGGTATCGAGACTTAAAAAAAACTGAAAATGGAAAAATTTGATAAATTTTCATTAAACAAATGACAGCGACGTGTTACTTTAAAGTCACCAAATTTTTCTTATGTCAATGCGGACGAAAGACCAAATATTAAGATAATTTCCGAGTGTTAAAAGAATGATTAATTATTGTTATTCGATAACAATGAAGTGCGCTCTTATTTGAGGCTAGCTAGCCTAACTAGCGGCCGAGTATGAAAATTACCAAAAAAAAAAAGTATTAAAAAAAATCTATTTTCATGAAGGAATTTGAGAAAACAAACAGAGAGCCTGCATAAAAAAATGACCAGTCCTGTTCGATCGACTGTCATTGTTTTGATAAATGATATTTCACATTTTACAAGGAAATACAATACACAAAGATGCTGATTTCAACCTCACCTGAACAATTTGAGATTTTTCATTCTTAACCACAGGCTTCGGGACTGGCGGGAGGTCGGAATGTATGGTAGATATGTGACAAGAGGACGTCTTGTCTGCCTGAATCATCGTCATATCTTCCGTAGGCAAGATCTGCACCATATTCCCCACTTGCACAAAGTTACTCTTCGATTGCTGCGTGGTGATTTTACCGAAAGTTTGCTGAATGGATACCAGATTGCTCTTAGGTTCCGCCACTTTGTTGAATTGAGCGAACTGATTATAATTGTAGTTAGAGTAAGTGGTGGGGATGGGCTGTGGTTGCTCGTTTGCCAATCCCAGGACCTGGTCGATTCGCACGTCCAACGATTCCCTCTTGGGAGACTCCAAAGTTTTTAGTGTTCTATCGTAGAACTGCGTGACGGGTGAATGGGTGAATTCTTCAATGTTCATACTGGGTTGAGGTAGCAGATCGTCCGATATAGTGGAGTCTGCGACACTGCGTTTTAAGCCTTCCAAAGGTGATGTGACTGGAGATTTGGGTTTATTCGATTTTGTGACCGATCGTTCTGACAGAGACTTGAAAGAGTGTCTCTCGGGTGATTTCGATTTAGCCTTCTTGGGAGAGCTCGGTCTGAATTTTGGCGAAGGGCTTCTTCTAGGCGAAGATTTTTGTCTGGGGGAGATGCTGCTTCGTCTTCTAGTTTTAGGAGAAGGGCTTCTGGGAGAGTGCCTCCTTTTGCCTACAAATACAAAAAATATAATTTTTAAAAAATATACATCCTAAATATTCATTTTCTAGCATCTAGCGCTTTTAGGTTACTTACTTAGATTAATTAATTGATATTTAAAGATGGTCAGAATTAAAATTGTATTTATGCGACAAAAGCACGCCATTATTTGAGGTTATACTAGCTTCTCCGGCAGCGGGGTACGAAAATTACTCAAAAAAGCTTTAAAAAAATGTAGTTTTTATGACGGAATTTGAAAAAAATCAACGATTGATATTTGTTTCTAATGATCAAAGAAAGTCTGTATAAATAAGAACCCCACTCAACGTATACGGAATGGACTAAATTTCGCTGGAAGTACAAAAATCTGAGGAACTATTAGAGATACTGGAAAGCTTGTATTTACACAATAGTACAAAAAATTAATAAATTAACAAGGTACTGAATATAAGATCTATTGCCTTGAAAATATTGCAACACTGGCTGACACTTACCTGGAGACCTCCGTTTCAATGGAGACCTCCTCCTTGGTGAATGCCTCTTAGGAGAGTGACCTCTACGCCTAGGCGAGTCCCTGCTTCTTCTTCTAGGTGAAATTTCCCGTTTACCACGTGAAAACCTCCTAGGGGACCCGTCTCTCCTCACGTGCCTGTCAGGACTTCTTTTCCTTCTACCCTCTTTGTCTTGAGGGGTCCTAGAACGAGCCTGCTCTTTCTTCTCGTGTTTCCTGGTATCCTTAGCGGCCTCTTTGCCTTTATCCGTATCTACTTCGGCCTTCTCCGCTTCCGTATCCATTTTATCTTTATCAGAAGACATCTTAGTGCCATCGCTTTTGCTCTCCTCCATAATATCCTCGAGTTTTTTCAATGGCTTCACGAGCTTCTCGTCATCATCCGAATCGCCCAAGTTAAGGTTAGAATTGTTCAGAAGTCGCTTGCTGGGCAGTACCATGCTGGTGAACACGAATGGTTTACTTGTCGATTTTTCCACCTCACTTTTTTCGTTGACTTGCTCCTTAAAACTATCCAAACTAGTATCCGCCGAAGGAGAGGCAGAGTCTTTCTCCGAAGCGATTTTCCCGAGTGTTTGTACAATCGGTGAGTGTGTTGCCAATGCCTGAAGGGCATTTGCGGCAGTAGCGGGGGAGGCCACAGGCGGCGTAGTGAATTTCGGAGCGATATCCAATGTTATGTTGGCGGACAAACTGAGGTTAATCAACGGTTTCGGAATTTTGTCGATTTCTATCTGGGGCGAGGGAACCGGCACAGGTTTGATCTCCTTGGGCAAGGGCATAGGGATTAAAGGGATATCTTTAGGCAGAATAGTCACGATTTGTGGCGCGTGTTGTGTGGGGATGATGGGCACATGCTCACCCACCTCGTCTGAAACATTCTTTGTGACTTGCGCTTTAACGGAACTCTCAATATCTGCAGGTGTCGCGGTAGCACACGTCTTGACACATCCGGACAATGGAGTTAAGCAACGGGGCGTGTCAGAGATGTATTCCTCCTTCTTCGTTTTATTTTTGATCTGAGGTTTTTTTGGAGAAGAAGTCAATGCCTTCATAAACTCTTCGTATTCGTTTTCTAAAATTGCAGAGTTATTAATCGAAGTGGAACTAGAAACGTTTGTGGAACTGTCCTCGTCATCTATTACTTCTTTCTTTATCTTATGGATTAACTCCAGATTTGGGATGGGCATCTTGGGCGAAGAATTCCTTTTATCCCATCTTCCCTTTTTGCGTGCCACCGCTTCATTTTCGAGGCAATCATTTATGACTGCGTCTCTTTTCTTGTCCATACTTTCTCTTTCTTCGGTTTCTTTGTCCTTACTTCGCCTTCGCTTGGGTTTCTTATCCGCCCTCACCTTGCCCTTCACTTCCTTTACAACCTCAAGTTCCAATTCCTTCACCCTCAGTTTCTCGATCTCCAGTCTCCTCCGTTCCTCGCTAAGTGACAAACTTTGCCTCTTTAGCAACCGCAGTTCTGCGTCGGGATCGATAACCTCCCTCCTCTTGAACGGTTTGATGTTCAGTGGTATTTCCAGGTCGAGGGTGAGGGTGTCACCCAAAGGGCGAGACTTCTCCGTAATTTGATGACCTCTCTCGAAGATTTCCTCGTCGCTCTCCCAAGAACTGTTCAATTTCTCTCTCGCTTTTATCGGCGCATCCTCATCACTTTCCCAAATCGGATAAGAGTCTTTTTCCCAATTCTCCCGGTACTCCTCGGTGTCGGGGGTGCCAATTTCGCACTTACCGCCATCCTTGGATCTCCCGCTGTCTTTATTTGTTTCTTTAGGAAAGTACAGATCCTCCTCGAGCGGAAAACCCTCGAATTCGTTAGGGAAAATCTCCACCGATTTGTCATAGTCCTTATGTCTGTACCGAGTTCGTTTATTTTTCAAATTTTTCCAGTCCGGTTCATTTCTTGTAGAAAGGGATCCTAATTTGCGTTTACTTTCCTGCTGCGTCTCGGACTTCGTGCCGTGTCGTCTATCTCTAGATTCCTCCCTTTCTCTGGGCACGATTTTCTTCTCTACATCTTCACTACTTCTTCTGTTTTTGCTAGCGGCTTTGTCGCCGGCCTCGCACTTATCATTTTTTGCTAATTGTTTGGTTGATTTTCTCTCCTGCTCCGTTTCCATTTTGTAGTATAGTTGTTCTTCCTCGTACCTATACTTGTCTTTCGGTTTCTCGGGACGTTTCCTGTCATCGTTCGTTTCCACATCTCTCTGTTTCTTCAAGCAATCGTAGGATTTTGTGGAAGTTTCGCTGTTGTTCCTAGAATTCCTTGAATCTTTCTGTCTTCTATCGCTCCACACATCGCTGTCCCCTTCATGCTTATCCGTATGTTCTCTACTATTCCATCTCGGTTTAGTACTGCCCCTCCTGTCTGTTCCTATTTCTTCGGATCTTCCCAAATCATCAAGTAGCTGAATCTCTTCAAGAAAATCGCAACTACCTGTTTTCATCTTACTGTCCTCATCGTCTTGCCTCGGAGGTTTTTTCTTTTTAACCTGTGACTCTTCAAGGTTTAAATTTTCGTTGCTCTTACCCCTTATTTTCTTCTTGGTTTTCCCGGTCCCTGCGCTAGCCATCTCGCAATCGACTTCAATTTCGGATTTTTTCTTTTTTCTCTCATCACTATCGCTACCTTCGTTCTCTTCTGTCTTCTTTATCGTGTCTTCCTTTGTGGGTGGTTTCATTTTCTTTGCTTTATTTTTCTTCTTTGTAATCTTGTGCTTCCTACGTTTACTTTTCCTCTTGAATTTTTTAGTTTTATCATATTCGGAACTGCTTACATCACTCTCCGTGCTGTGTTTGTTTTTCTTTGGGTTTACTCTTTTTCTCTTTTTCTTAACTGGTTTCTCTTCTTCCTCAAATTCTGAACTTGTCCCTTTCCTTTTTGATTTCCTTTTCTTCTTTTTCTTCGTCACCTTCTCTTCCTCTATTCTGATTGCCTTTCTCCTCTCTAATTCCTCTTCTAGTTCCTTGATAGCCTTTCTAGTTTCGCTCAGCTCATCCTTTTCTTTCTTTTTTATCTCTTCCAGAATATTCTCCTTCTGCATCTTTTTCGTCTCTTCCGATTTTACATTGTCGCTGTGTCTTACAGTCTTTTCAACAGTTTCCCCTTTTTCTTTCAAACATTTTTTATTTTCCTCAGACCTTTCTTTTTTGCGTTTTTTTCTCTGCTCTTCTTCTTTTTGGTGAACTTTAACTTCTTCCAATATTTCTTCCTTTTGCTTGTTTTCCAGTACACCAGGCTTCTCCTCGGGTGTTAGAGTGTCCCTCTCCTCCAATTCCCTCCTGGTGTTATCCGAATTGGCAGCAGAGAATTCCGTTTCCCCGCTGTGATGGTTTAAAGTTGCTTCTTTTATTGGTGCTTCGAGTTCTGGAATTGCCTCATTTTCTTTTGTGTTGCTAAAGTTCACAATTTCCTCAAAATCGTTTTCTTCTTCTTCATCAGAATAAGTTTGAAGGAATGACAGTCCTACAGAATTTTCTAATATTTTACATTCTGCATCTGCCGATCTTTTCCATGATTTGCTGTACCAAAGACGACTTGTTAAAGTCCTACTCTGAAACTGAGACCTGTCAAAGAAAAATCACAATGTAATAAGACACACATGAGCAGAAGATTTTTCATAATTTTATTTTTAAGTGTGCATATTATTGCTAATTTATGCTACCAATTAAAATTTTTATGCTTGTGCCTTTTTCGACAAGAATTCTTGCTAAAAAGCCATCAAATTGCTCCGACATTTAAGAATGATAGTAAAATGATATTGTGCCATATTTTGTTACTCCAAAATATTCATTTTTAAAAGTACTCGACTCTCATATATTCCATTGAGAATCTGTTGCTGTCTCTCACTGGTCTAAAAATGATGCTAAAGTTATACAGTTTACAAAGAATCTATTGGTGCGCGTGAAGAGTTGTGGCAAAGAATACAAATTGCTGCGAACGAAGTCAGAGGCAATCCCAATACCTATGTTGTTTGAAACTCGAAGATCTCCCAGAAAACGTGTAAACTGTATCAGTGTCAACGGTGGATTCTTCAAACAATTACTTTAAATCATTATTACGTATTTCATTTGTTTTATTGTTAATTGTTGTAATAACATGAAGAAACACTTGGTTTGTTTCGCTTTTAATTTTTCACGTTATCAAAACACAGTGTTCGTTAAATCGATTTTTCTCGAAAACGGATCGAGATACCAAAATGAAACAAGAATACATAATTACTGGAAAAATGATTACGCTTTCAGGTTTTGAATCAAATTTCATGTTAGACATACAGGGTAAAAAGTTATTAACTAAATTTTCGGTAAAATTGGTCATAAGTGGCACCCTCTATGAGCAACGCTGAAATTGCAACACGCATCTTGTTTATAGCTTAAAAAATATAGTTTCACATATTTTCAAGTTCCTAACCTACATATTTTCAAAAAACGATTTAAAATTTTAACTTTCAACACCCTGCATTTCCGAAACTATCAACTATCGGATAAGGCATGTTTGCGCCAATGGTCACCATTTCACGTGTAGTATCTTAAGCTTTTGATTTTCCCATTGTTAATGAATCACCCTGTATATTCCATTATAAAGTCTCGCAATTTTATTTTATTATAAGCTAATCCAAATAATTTCAACCATTTTTATCAACATCTTATAAAATCTTATTTTGTTCGATTTCTTAGGAAAAATTTTTTTGATATTGATTGAGTTAACGTAGTAGTTTTATAATAACGTAAAAAAAAGACTGAATTTTGTCCACTTCTTATATTACTATGGATGCAAAAGAATATTAATAATACAAAGAAATGACTATTATTGTTTGAATTTGTTTTAATTTTTGTTAGTGATTATTTAGAGTATAGTTTTTAGACCCATCAAATTTTCAAAAGAATGTGCGAGTGTGTACGTTAAAAATTAATATTTTGTTGGTTTTTATAAGTACCTTGACGATGCGGAATTGATTAATTTTTCTATGGCATTTCTACGGTCTCTGGGTATTACATGAAACAGCTGTTTTCTGGTCACGAAGCTGTCTCTGTTCTTCCTGCTATTTACACTATATGTAAGCGTCGGTTTACTTCTTGTAATCCTAAAAATAGCTAATTAAAAAATAATGCTAATAGGTTGCTATCTAAAACAAATACCGCAAAAAGGACATCGGTATGTTTTCAATTTTCTCTTCTGAAGTAAGACTTTTAAAAGACTCTATGAGAGGGGACGGGCCGTCGAATGTTAAAACCTTTGCTATCAATTCGTGAGCGTTAAGTTTTATTTTAGGAAAAATTTTAGATTTCAATTCCTCGTCTTTAACAAATGTCATGCCATTCTCTTTATATTCCGTCCAATTTCTTGGATACACCAGTTTCCCAGCTTTTCTGGAGTAATTATCTGGAGATACAGACCGCCGCTTGAATGAATCGGAACGTCTGTAATTACGGCTCTTTATTTCTCTCTTTTTGAATTGTTGCTCCCGTTCTAAATAGAAAGAAATAATAAAGTGCTTATGTAATAATTACACTATCTCACTAGATAGTATATATAGATTTTCGTATACTTGACACAAACCTTCTTTCACTTATTATTAAGTGACAATTACTTTTTAGGAAAATCCATATCCAATTTTCATGCTTTTATGAAAATCTACAAACTTGACAGTCAAATAAATATTTTTTTTACCTGAAGATGGAGATCTGGACCTTACTCGAAGGGCTTCTTTTAAAGCCAAAGTTTTATAAGCTACTGCCATAATAGCGTCAATTTTTTTCTTCTCTTGTTGAGCCTCTTGTGCTTCCTTCTGCTTTATTTCCTCAATTTCCTGAACCACAGCTTGTGCCTTATCCAATGGATACAATGCTATTAGCAAAAAATATTAGACATACTCTATTATTTAATAATTATAATAAGCAGTTTAAACATAATTTTTAAAAAAAGTAAATTTGTTTAATATATCTGTTTAATATACAAACTGTCTTAGTCGTCCGTCTCCTATACACACATGGATGCGACATAGTGTATCGAGTGAGTACCTTTGGTATCGAAATGTATAAATAAAGTACAATGAATGGATGCCACATCTAGTTTGTGTTAAAAGCCGTCAAACTATGTAATACATTTCCACATCAAACATACTCCCATGACGCACTGCATAACACCATGCCCAGTCTACAGCATCTATAGGAGACCAATGACTTACAGATAATGTTAGTATTTGAAATTTTAATATATTTGATAAAATACTGACATTTTCGCCTTCATTTGTTTGTCACATCATCTAAACTACAAAACACTAACCTTTCTTTGACTTTTTTGGTAACATTTTGTCAGACTTGTCTAAATCTTCAGTCTTTTCATCTTTAGAATTTCTTTTCAACTGCTTAGTGACTGAAAAGGCTTGTAATCTTTTTTTGGCCTGCAATATGCTTTTAAATGTAGGTTTTGCTATGTTAGCATCACCTTTCTCGGCATGTTCTCCTGTACAACTTTCCAGGGAGTCATCTTTGGACATGCTAGGACTGTCCACAGCGTTGCCTTCATATCTATAGCATGTAATAGTTTTTTTAAAGCAAGTGGACGCATTTTCCTGATCAATAGGTCCATCTAGTACCCATTCTGAGTGCCAAGTATTATCCATTTCAACTAAACATCATAATCATTACCGAAAATGGTTTTTGCTAGGCGACACTACACAACTAAGTGATTGAAAGCCCAAGAGGAGAATTTATAAACTAGCACTATCACTGCTTTTATGCATGTTACAAATAGGATTCATACAGTACTATTTAAAATAATTTATGTAATAATTTTATTTGTTATATTAATTCAGGTTCTATTTTGACAACACATAGCTCAGCTAGCGAAATCCATCAATAAATATTACAGAGAGGCAATTTTATTTTACCAAAGTAAAAAGTAACTGTTGAGAACATAGTAATCAGAAATGTGTAAAATGTTCCTATTTCAAAATGCAGCCAATGAACTAGATATACATTGGAAGGAAGTCTACCCTGTCCACCACATTATTCCATGGCTAGAAATTGGCCTCAATGATTTGGGATCAAGGGGGATTATCCCTCTTTATCCTGCCTCATCTCGTGTAGGCCTGGACAGCCTTCGTAGGTGGGCCCCATCCGTCGTCTACCCCGACCGCAAATGCGGCCGGTGTAGGCGCTTTGTGGGACCTCCTTTTGTCCTGGCTGGGCCCCGCCGGCTAGGGCCCTTTCTTCTGGCGCTCTTCTTGCTTCGCCGGCTCGTCTGTGTAAACCCCGGGGGTAGTGTCATGTTTATGTGTGGTATGGTTGGGTAGGGTAGTGCGGCTATGCAGCCTGGGATGCGCTTTGCTAAGGTGGCCCTTAGGCTAGCGCGGGAGGGGAGGGTTAAGGAGGGTAGGGGGGGTGTGTGTGTGTGTGTGTGTGTGTGTCGTTGTCTTCGTTTCTTGATCCTGGCTGTCTCTGAAACAGAAAAGGTTAGCGGGCAGGGGGGGGGTCATTGGGGTGGTCACCCAGGGTCAAAAAGTTGGTGTCTAGGTCTTTTGTGTTTGTCGGTCACGTCGGGTACGTAGTCAACGGCTTGCCTGAGGAGGGGATTGTCATGTCTAGCGGCTACGTCAAATCGTTTCTCCGCGTTTTGTCTTATTGTCTGTGTAGCGTTTGTGTATTATAAGTCTCGTAATATGTCAGTGTTTCTTACGTACCAGGGCGCGTCGGTGGCGGTGCGGAGGGCTATGTTTTCCACAGCCTGTAACACATACTTCTATCTATCTAAAGATAGAAGTATGTGGCCTGTAATGACTTTACAGAGAGACAGGTTGCCTGGTAACTTTAGACCAATGAGAGGCGAGCAATAAAAGCGCGGGTATGACGTCAGCCTGCGTGCCACATTTTGAATGTAGTATTGTGAAGCCCATTAGCTCATTTAAAAATCCAGATGTAATAATAATTTTATGGTAACACAATATTACTTTTGTAAGGGTTTGAGTTTATAACATAATTTAATTTAGGGAAAGCTATATTTCATTGCAGGAACTGGTTAATTTATGTAAATTTAAAATAAATAAACCAGGTAAACTTTTATACACATATCTTAATAAATACCTTTCATCCTCGCAATATAAATAAGTTACCAAGCAGGGATTTACCTGTACAGTTTAACACTTAACTATCTTTTTGGATAATCTATTGTAGATATTTCTGAAAGGAAGTTCATATATAAATAATTTTAGTTTTAGCCTGATGGGCACATTATAATAACTATTGAAGTGAGCATCAGCTTAAACTAAAATCCATAATTTTTTTGAATAAACAGAATACTAATTTTTAATTTTGACTGTATATTGTTTATTTTATTTCATTTCATAACATTAGGACTGTACAAGAAAGAAATCATTAGTTTAATAACGTTTATTAAACGTTTTTTTGTTTTTCTTCTTCTTGTTTTACATATAGATATTTTATTCTGACAAATATTCTCTGCCGACTGAAATATTTTACCAGATCTTTAGGGATGTCCTCTAATTTACTTGATATATAATCGGCAGTTTTTTTCACAACTTCATTTTTCCCAATAAAAGATTGTTTATGAAACTTTTGAAAATATTTGTCCATTTTAAATACTTGTTGCTTCCATTCTTCTGATTAGGGTTCTATTAGACCACCATAGGATAAATTTTGTATAAAAGGGCATCTTGTATAGCTATGAAAGTTAATAGCTTTTTTGGTTTAATGAGTATACTTTCCCAAAGTGGGGTACTTTGCCTTGAACTTTTTTGCTAAAAATTCATCTTCATCTTCAAAATCTTCGGGTTTAAAATGTTTACTACATATCTGTTTGTTAGTACAAGTCCATTTATCTTTTCGGTACCATCTTCTGACCCATTGTTTCTGTATTTTAACATCTTTAGGAAATGAAAAAAAAAATAAATTTTCACCTTTCTCTTTCGCTGTTTTCGAATTATTTTTACTAGTACATACCTACTTACACTGCATACTATTCCTCCAGGCATCTACATTAATAAAAATGAATTTTAACAACGATTGCACTACTTATTTATAATTTAAAAAAGTTCAAAACTTACCTTGAATAGGTATCAAACGAGCTTTAAAGCAGTAAGTTTAAACTTCTATTTACAAGTGTATATAATACACAATATTATCTACTAATTTTAATTATTAACAACGAAAAGGGAAGCTTCAACAGGAAAACACACTTCGAAATAAAAAATAAAAATATATATGCTATAATTAAACCACTATCACTTTCTAAAAACTTTATAGGTAGAATACGCAAACAGTATAAACTTAACTTGCGCACTTGCATCTGTAGTGCGGTCTATGATGTGATGTGGCGNTATATATATATATATGCTATAATTAAACCACTATCACTTTCTAAAAACTTTATAGGTAGAATACGCAAACGGTATAAACTTAACTTGCGCTGTAATCTGTAGTGGGGTCTATGATGTGATGTGGCGTGGCACACAGAGTGACGTGTTGCTTCCCCCTCACGTTTTTCCCGCCCAGCAGTTACCAGGCAACCTTTATAAACGTTGCTCTAGTCCACAGTATACTAATTAGTATACTGTGTGTGGGACGAACAGGATATGAATGAGAGTGGGGACTCAATATTGTCATCACCATAGAAAATATAGTCGTTAGTACTATATTTTCTATGGTCATCACGAATTACAAAGGGCGGATTTAAGATACAAAATTTTTATTTATTAAATGCATATTTTTTTACTTGAAATTTGCGAAAATGTGTTTCGTAAACAATGTTAATTGTTCATAACAAATGTTCTTAAAGCTACATAAAATATACAGACTCCTGCGTAGTNCGACTGAAATGTTTTACCAGATCTTTAGGGATGTCCTCTAATTTACTTGATATATAATCGGCAGTTTTTTTCAACTTCATTTTTCCCAATAAAAGATTGTTTATGAAACTTTTGAAAATATTTGTCCATTTTAAATACTTGTTGCTTCCATTCTTCTGATGAGGGTTCTATTAGACCACCATAGGATAAATTTTGTATAAAAGGGCATCTTGTACAGCTATGAAAGTTAATAGCTTTTTTGGTTTCATGAGTATACTTTTCCCAAAATGGGGTACTTTGCCTTGAACTTTTTTGCTAAAAATTCATCTTCATCTTCTAAAATCTTCGGGTTTAAAATGTTTACTATATATCTGTTTGTTAGTACAAGTCCATTTATTTTTTCGGTAGCATCTTCTGACCCATGCTTTCTGTATTTTAACATCTTTAGGAAATGAAAAAAAAAATAAATTTTCGCCTTTCTCTTTCGCTGTTTTCCAATGTTAATTGTTCATAACAAATGTTCTTAAAGCTACATAAAATATACAGACTCCTGCGTAGTGCGAAACATCCAGGTTAGAATTTTGAAAAAATGTTTTCTCGAAAACAGTTCGAGCGCACAAAAATAACTTCAGATTCGTGTTCAGCACTAGCGAAAAAAGGGGGACACTATACTAAATAATTGCCAGTATTTTTATTAAATTGCTAGTAAAATAAAGTTATTATGAGAAGGAACGGACGAGTAAGACTTCCGAGTATGTAAAACATATTTTTTATTATAAGTTAAACTTCAGTATATCAACAATATGTACAAAATATATACAAATAAAAACATAAATATAAGTAGTGAGAGTGTAATTTTTAGCCTTATTGTACACAATTATAATTATAAAATTAGACTTAAATAAGATATAGATAGATAGATAGATAACTGAAAAAAATGTATAAGCAACAATTTTAATAATTACAGAATAGGATAGACGATAACAAAGCAACATGGTGGAAATTAGAACTACCATAATATTTTCAAAATTTTTACGATACAAAGTCTTTCACTATTTCGTGTATGTCTTTTTTTTCACTTGTACAATAATCCTTTAGCAGACTCTCCAAATATGGTAATCAGACGATATTTTTTCAAAGCAGCGTAGTGGATGGTTGTTTATACCTATATAGTTACAAACATATTTCCATAAGTATCGTTTCATTTTCTTTTTTGGGTTTCATATTTTTTTCATCACTTCTTTTTTCAGAAAGGTACAATACAATTTACAAGATGCAATTATAAAAATTATGCAAGCATAGGAAAAACCCATGCATAATTTTTATATCATAATTCTTTACAATCATGGATGGGACGGAGTTTCTAAATAATAAGGGATGCAGCAACATGTGAAATATATCGAATTATTGCCGAACATCATTAATTTTATGTTGGAAATTCTCCAACATTTTTTATTAAATGTGAGATACTGGAGCTTAATAATTGATATTTTATATCTCCTTTCATATTTCCTTGGTACACTAATTTTTCCATTTAATTTGTTGCGGTCAGAAATTACATACCCATTTCACAAAGAACTTATACTTTTGTTAGAAGACCACAAATTCTATGTAAGTGCAATTTTTCATCTAAAATAGAAAACTGTCATTTTGCTTTACTTCTCCGAGAGAACACGATACTGTAGATGTTGTAACTATTTCTCTTTCATAAATTATAAAAAAGGAAGCAATACAAGTATTACAATAATCACACATACAGATAGAGTACCTAGTCGGCTAATATACACCTAAGTGAATAAAATATTTACCATTTTTATGCTTAGACTGCTACTTTCCAAGATATCCAGACTTAAAAAAACCGAAAATGGAAAATCTGATGAATTTTCATTAATCAAATGACTTAGCGACGTGTTATTTTAAAGTCACCATATTTTTTTTTATGTCAATGCAGACGAAAGACCAAATATTAAGATAATTTCCGAGTGTTAAAAAAATGTTTATTAAATATTCTCCTAATTGTAAGTAAAACTATTTTATGCCTTAAAATAATAATTTTTGCTATTTCATAAAATGTACATAATAAAAAATAATTAAAAACTTGGTAATCTGAAAAGATGTTACTAATTTTTTTAAGCATAGTGTTAGTTTGTGAATCTCAGTGTCCTTGACCTCTGACACTCACCCACTTTATAACACCTACATAAAATCAATCCACCTGATGTGATATGACAGCGGGCGCTGGTCACGCAAAAAACACTTAATTTGGCAGAATGAGAATATATGTCACAGCTTCATTTCTACATTTATTTATGTTTAGTTTATCGGTTTAAGAGGTGTTTGTGATAAGGTAGATAATTTCGCGACTTTCTTCGTGAAGTATTAATTTTTCAGTACAGTGTGTTTGTGTGTCATCATTGTTAAATTTTAATGAGATATAAAAATAACGTATACAAATCAGGAGAGATGAAATTTGATAATAATTCAAGCCATAGTTCACCCTTACGGCAAGAAACACCCTGTTTGAAGTTAGCTAGCCTATCCAGCGGCTAGGTATGAAAAATACAAAAAAAAAAAAAGATTTGAGCATGTTTTCACAATGGAATTTGAGAAAACAAACTTATTATATGTGTTTCTAAAGGTCAATCTGTATAAATATGACTTTCATTCAAAGCTACATGTTGTAAATATACAACATGTAGTATTATGGTATGTGGTATGAATAATGATCGTGACAAATATGTCACAATCATTATTCATACCAATACACAATACAAATAAAAAATACTTATTATTATCCTGATTACCTACCGCTCCTCTAACCAGTCACCAAATCGAGCTCAAAAAGAACACAATGCCGACAATAGAGTGAAATTACTGTAATATTACCGTAAGTACTATTGTCTGAATTAACGAAAATCGTAATACTCTGTATCTCATCAATTGCTTATAGGAGATGGTTTTTCGTTTCGATATGATATGATATGAATCATTTTTCTCTAACGGATAATATATGCGAGCATATTCCCCATCCAGATGAAAAGTGGGAACGATAAAGATAAAAGTTTAAAGTTACTCTAAATATATATATTGGATGAATATTTATGTCATTCAAAAAGTTAACATACTGTGAAAACTCGAAATTATACTATCATCGATATATTTCACATGGTACCGCTTAGGGACACAGGATATAGTAGTACTAAGGACAAAGAATGTGTTTTTTTTTTACAACTTCTAAAACCTATGTATGCATTTTTTAATGTACTTATTTATCTATCTGCTAGAATGTTAAAAATTGCATACAATACAAGAACCACAGGGATAATCAGCCTTATTAAATTATATTTAATAGTAAAACTTCAGTGATTTCCTTAAAAAAAAAGAAATAAATACATTGACACAATAAAAAATATATACATGTAGCCTCAGCAGTACAAAATGCAGATAGATGGTATAAAATAAATAAACAGAAAACAATAAAAACGACTAGACGAAAGTCATGTAACAAAATCAAAACAATTTTGGGGTCGCACTAATAACTAATATTTATAATAGAGTTGATCATGACAGCCTGCAACTAACAAAGTGTTAAGTATTCATAGTGATGTATTATGGAATTATAAAACTGAATGTGCATGCAAGTTAGTGATTGATAGCTTTACTACGACTTTATAAATATACATACGTATGTATCTAAGATTATATAATTATATCGCTCATACTACCAGTCACACTGAATTTCAGCTTGCTTATTAATTTTAAGAAAGCATAAACGTCACAATTGTTACCAGTAAGTTTTTTTTTTTTTGGCAAATATCAACTGACAGTTAGATAAAAAGGCAGGCCGGAATAATTTAACTATTGCGAGAAATTTGTAAAGAAAATACAGTAAAGACGAAATTGTCTAACCACAAGGGTTACACATAAGCTAGACTCAAAGGAGTTAATCTAGTTAACCTGAAAAAAAAAAAAAAAAGTTCCTTTGTCGATTTGATCTTTTTGTTCCTTTTAGGTAGTGCTTCAAAAATTTGCAAACAGTGTTTCATATTTTCTAACCATAATACAGATCCTTCATAAATGATTACAAACTACCGTGACCGCCGAGCTTAGGCAACCAATATTGCACAATTGGCACTGTCAACTAAAAATCTTTAAATCTTGGTACCACCAATGGTAATTATTCATTTAGAATGAGCAGTGATGAACCGTTGCGTCTACCCTTGAGATAATAAGATCGAATGTTGTGTTTTAACATAACCTCGATGTTATTGTTTTAATAATTTTTAATTTCGCCAAAACATAATAGCCAACGTGAAGGAAATAAAATTACTGTTTCAAACAAAATTACATATATATTATTCTTTATGAAGGCTCCGTAGAAAACACAGAAGAACGAAGGATCGGACAGTTAGAAATTATTAAATTAATCAAATTTAATCTAAAAACACTCTTGCGTGACTTAGCATTATTGTATTATTCCATTTACGAAATGATGAGGATCAAACAAATGAAATGACCTTAGAAGTCCCACGATAGATCATATAATTGGATCAGAAATTAACTTGCATGCAAATGAAAAAAAAATGTGGATAATAAAATATATATCACAGTAGAGAAGAGTTGAACATGAAGTATATTAAAATGCATCAATAAAGGTATCACAGATCTGGTTTTATGACAAGTAAAATCTTATCAGAGAGCATAGCTAAGGTAAGAACGCTCTCGAGACACGCTCGCATTCGCTCAGTTCCCTAGTCTTCTTGCCCTGGTACCTAATTTCCGGACTAACACTAACCGTACACAGTGGAATATGCTCAGATTATAATCTCGGAAATTAAAAACTAGCGGCAGTCCATCAAATACCAATTACATTAATCATAAAAATTTACTAGTATAGTAATGTCGCAACAAAAGATAATATACCTGCTCCAGTACTTCTCGATTCTTCCGTTTCCTCGACTTCCTCTTCACTTTCGTTGTGGTATCCGCGAAAACGTCCGAGCCGTTTGCGATGCCCAGGCGCAGATGTATCGGTAACTTCGCATCTGCAACATCGTTTGCACATTATTGAAATAGCAAAGCATCTCATTTAGGAAGATTGTGTGCAGATTTCTTTGTATACAGTAAATTTTGTCATAGAAGGAAACCTATTCTTAGATAATTTAAAAGTGCACTGCACTCAAGTTTACTTATTTATACAGGGTATACCAAAACAACATGTAGGCATTTTAAGAGGCGGCTGCTAAGATGATGTTATGAAGAGAATTTCATGTAAACATGCTCGATGTTCAATGAACAGTGTGTTCGAAGTTGAACTCTGACGATGATGCTCTTGTACTATTTTCGAAATGTTTGAAGGTGTGTGAATAAAATTTCGTACTAACAATAAACTTTTTATGCCTTACAATGTAAAAGTGGAATTATGTGGCAATTGTTTTCTAAAGTTTGTAAAAAATGGCGCATCCCAGTGCTATGTCATTAAAATCTATTTTTGAGTTCAAATTATGAAGAAAATATTACATTATTTACACTAGTTTTATTGTAATGTATTTGGGTAGCGATACGAGTATCTATGTCTATGCAACTATAAATGCTGATAGAACGTTAGTCCAGGAAAGTAACACATAAAAAGCATAGGTGCAATTTTGAACAACTTTTATTTGAAAAAATGCATCTTTGAGATATTGGCCCTTTTTAGTCAAAACACTTGAAAAATGATATATACATATGCCTGTAACTCAAAATGCTGTATGTTGCTGATAGTTGCGTGTCTGACACATGTTTTCAGACTGCTAAACCTACACTTTTCTATAAAAAAATCCGAGTACAAAAGTTCGGTCATTTTTTCCTTATTTTCCTGGACTATATGCATCGGAAAGATAATTGTTCATGGCTAGTGAAGGACACCATTTTGAATATGTAATGTTTTTATTGTGAATATGGCAATGTAGCTTACTATTTTGGATTCACGTCATGTACGTTTTATTTTCATAGTAAAAATTTGCAATTTATTCATTAACAAGTGAAGTTTGATAGTTTCATCCTTTTAATAAGATTAAAAGTATTTCAATGAAAAATCAATAGCATTTTTCATAAGTGTAATACTAAATTGTATCTACTAAGTTTAATATCAAGAGTTCACGTTAATCAATTTCAAAAACAAATTTATGTAATTACAAGCCTTTTAGGGCAGATTTATATGAATTTTCTTCATAAAATTGCCTCAGCAAGCTCCTCTTAAACACACAACTTTAAGTTTAAGCTATATCTATTTCCCTGTTGATTTTAAAAGCATTGTAATAATGAAATTTACAGCTAAGAAAAAAACAAGTTGACGCTTAACTTTCTGATTTTCTTAAATTGGTTATAGGGTGTAACTTTGAGTGGGGGCCATATCTATACAGTGGCTTCCTTTGACCTTTAGAAACACGTAACAACAGTTTATTTTTTCAAATTCGGTCGACCAAAAACTTAATATTTTTTAACCTTTTTTAAATAATTTTCGTACCCCACAGCTGGAGAAATTAGTGTAACCTCAAATAATGGCGCGTTTTAGTCACAGCGCATGCACAATTCCACACCATTCGCCGCGAGTTACTTTTGTTGTGTGGGTGTTCGTCACACAAATAGTACTTAACAAGTAACTTAGCAAGAAAACTCTAGCAGTAATCAATAATGATGAATGAAATACACAAAAATAAATAGTCTGTTGATGGCTTCCAGTGATGGGAAACATTCAGATTCACAGTTAGATTTACCGTTTCCAAATGTGGAACAACAACTGACGCCCTTCAATTCGTCACCGTTTACCGGCACTATCTCCCTTCACATGCATTGTAGGTTACCTACAATTCATGTATTTGTAATACATGATTACAGTGGCGGCATACATAAGTATTAAAGTGCATTTAAAAAAAACTATTTATAACACTACTATTTATTTGATTAAAAATAATTTCAGATTCTTATTCAGAGGAAGACGTAGACGAAGACCCCCAAAAAACTGACCCTCCCACTTAAAGTTACACCCTGTATAAGTTTTCAGGGTGTCCGGAACCCAAAACCGACAAACGAAGACAGCAAATTATAGGGATGATTTCATATCGATTTGACATAAATGCTTCATAAGGGAGGTAGGGCTCTTTGAAGATGGTCCTTTGACATTTTTTTTTTATTTATCAGACCGGAGTTTATCTAGAAGGATCAAACTTGTTATGTGTTTACACTTACAAGGACAGCATTTTGATGTAAAAATGAGTTTTTAATTGTAACCACAGGCGTCACATTTGGGAGGGTCAGCTGATATTTTTAATTACATTTTTTTTTTATCTTCCACTTCCAGATTAAAGAGGCTTGAGTGGCTAGGGTGCACGATAATCACAAAATTACAAATTCTTTGCTAATATTTAATAGTTGATTTTGGAAAAGAGATAAAGTAAAATTCTATAAAAATATTGGAACTTTGTACTAAATAATATCACACACTGGCAAAAATTATAACAAGACGACTATTAACAAAAACAAATTTTCAATTTAAAAAAGATGCATCTCGAATACTCTGAAGTTTTTGATTTTGATATTAAAAATACCAAAAAGTCGAAGATAAAAAAAATATATAATTAAAAATATCAGCTAACCCTCCTAAATATGACGCCAACTAACATATAATTTTTACCTCAAAAGGCTGTCCATATAATGAGGCAACCTAAGTTTGATAGTTCTACTTGAACAGCGATGTGAACAATTGAAAAAAAAAAACAATGTCAAAAGATCATCTTTAAAGAGCCCTACCTCACTTAGGAAGCATATTTAGATAAGACGCAATTTATCGATATGAAATCATCCCTAAAATTTGTTTGGATGTCTTCGTTTGTCGGTTGAGTTTCCAGACATCTTGTATACAGAGTGACCCATTTGAAAGCGGGCCACCCTCATAACATTTTTATTTATGGAGCGATTTTGACGAAATTTTTTTTGAAATGTAGAGGGGGGAAAAGTGTATTTTGGGGCCAAGCCCCGTCCAGTTCTTTTTTAAACTAAGGCCTACTAGATCACATTCAGAGGCTGAAAAATCCAGAATCCATATTAGCGATTTTTTTTGAAAAAATCTACGTACGCCACTGGATTCGGCGTCCCCTGAAATGGATCTGTACCAAATTTCATGAAAAAATATTCAACATTAAAGATTCTGCAGTTAAATTTCTGTCAAATTGTTTATTATGCATAAAGAAACTTTTTATCTAGTAACCCATGCGATAATAAATCAATCACAACAAATATTTAATAACACGTTTAATAGACATCATTATACCAAAATACAATGAAACAGACAGAAAAATGAACGAGAAATTAACATAAAATTTACAAAAAATACAATACAATACAATACAGATTTTTTCTAAAAAAATCGCTAATATGGATTCTGGATTTTTCAGCCTCTGAATGTGATCTAGTAGGCCTTAGTTTAAAAAAGAACTGGACGGCGCTTGTCCCCAAAATACACTTTTCCCCCCTTTACATTTCAAAAAAAAATTTGTCAAAATTGCTCCATAAATAAAAATGTTATGAGGGTGGCCCGCTTTCAAATGGGTCACTCTGTATATACAGGCTGTTACAAATTAGCTTCTCATTACAGGGATCTCGGAAACGATAAGAGCTATGAAGTAACTTAAATGGGGGCAAAATTGTATAATCAGGGTCCCAACATTATGCCTCTAAAAAATCAAAGCTAACATGATTAGTTTTCGAAATATTTGAAAAAAACCGAAGTTTTGGAAATCCGTTTTTGTTTCATTTCAGCTTTGTTTGAGGTGATATTGAAAAAAAAGAACACTTTCTCATGGCCACTTTTTGCCCTCTGGCATAACAATTTTTATATGTAACGTTTCGTCTCTCAAGAACCATCATCAACTTATTACATTTTTTTAAATATGACCCTAGAAATTTTATTACATTTTTTTGCAAGCCTTCATGGCCCCCAATACTGTACTGCCCCAGCCCGAACCAGATTCAGACGTTTTGTTTTGAAAAATTCATCTTCAGGATATTCGTTCCAAATTTATCTAAATTTTTTATTTATATTTCTTCGTTTACTGAATTATCGTACACTGTAAGTGTCGTTAGACCCTGTGAAATTCATCCAGTTATTTAAAATATTACCACCACACATTAAAATAACAAATTATTAAAGTTTTATTTCCGTGTCCATAGTTATTTCTAGGCTTCTCGAGTGCTCAAAATTCGAACAAATTCCAAAACAAAAACAAATTTCCAAAATTTCGGTTTTTTTCAAATATTTCGAAAACTAATCACGTTAGCCTTGATTTTTTAGATCCATAATGTTAGTCCCCTGAATACGCAACTTTGCCCCCATTTAAGCTACTTCATACCTTTTACTGTTTCTGAGATCCCTATAGTCAGAAGCGAATTTGTAACAGCCTGTATATACAGTGTGTCCCAAAATGATAGAACAAAATTCTTTTTTTTTAAGTTGCAATTTAAGAAAATCGCTGAAACAGGTCAATTAGTAAATAGGAATTGTCACTTTTCTGCAATATTTTCTTTTGAACCATGTTTGACAGACCTATATCATTTCCGACATTTTTTTGAGTAGGACGCTCTATATTTTATTGCATAAATAGATAGCCCTTCTAAAGACGAATTCAGTAGTATAAGGTTATACCTACTTTTTATCATAATTGTCAAAAAAATGTAAAAAATTATAGTCTCTTCTGTACTTTAAAAAACTTACTACTTAACCTATTAATCTTCCTCTACTTTAAAGCTTTTTATTCTCAAAAAAAAAAATCATACATCGATAAACGTAAAATTCACCATAGTTCCTTAGGTATAATGTGAATCGTTTTAGTTCCAATTCATTCGTTGTTAAATTGTTTTGAAAAAGGTTTGCCCGTTTAAAGGAAAAATAGATAATTGAAATTTTAATCATGATTGGATGCGGAGATAAAATCCGTACCCCACAGGAGGTATGTGACTTATTTCACCATAAGTATCCAGACCAGAGAATTAGTCGAGCTACAATAAGTAAAGTATCCAAAAAGTTTGAAGAAACCAAAAGTATAAAAGATTTACCTGGATCAGGAAGGTGAATAACAGTAAGCGAAAATGACCATCAAAATGTGATGCTCGCCATTACTGAAAATCCTCACTCATTCATTAGATCAGGCCAACTTCAACATGTCGAAGTCCTCAGTTCATAGAACTCTGAAGTCTCAAAAGTGGCATCTTTACAAAGTTAGCGTCTTACAAAAATTATGGGCAGATGATATAGACAGAAGATTACAGTTTTGCGAGGAAATTAGAAATTTATTTGTAAGACAACCCAACTTAAAAATTCACATAATTCTTACTGACAAAACAACTTTTTACTTAAACGGAACCGTGAACAGGCAAAGTACTAGGTTTTGGAGCCCAGAAAATTCGCATTGGATGCAAGAAAAACATACACAATGGCTGGAAAAAGTGAATGTTTGGGGTGGAATAGTAGGAAATCGCAGACTGGGTTTCTTTGAGGGCAATTTAACAGACGACGTTTATTTGGTTTTTTTGCGTTTTAAGCTGATTCCAGCCCTGGAATAAATTTTTCCTAACCCTAATGCCCGATGGTGATGTGTGGTACCCTCCACATCTTCGCCTCGAGTAAAAAATTAGCGGTCAAAAAAGGCAGTTTGAATGGCCACCACACTCCCTTTACTTAACCCCACCATTTTTTTTAGGGGTTATCTAAAAGGCAAAATGTATGTGAACAAACCAGACCCTATCGAAGGATTGACAAATCGTATCATCACCAAATGTGAGTCAAAATGTAATTGATAACTTTGAAGACCGAATTGGGCGTTGTGCAATGGTTAATGGGGGCCACTTTGAACATTTGCTGTAATAAAATAAAAAGTGGTACTATATTACTGTTTTCATGTAATTCCTCCATTTCTTTGACAACTATGACAAAAAAGTAGGTATAACCTTATATTGCTGAATTCGTCTTTAGAAGAGAGTTATTTATACTATAAAATATGGAGCGTCCTATTAAAAAAAAAAAATGTTGGTAATGTTATACAATTGTACAAAAGTAATAATTAAATTTTGTTTAGATGTAAATGACCTGTTTTTTGCTTTGTCTTTGGAAATTAGAACTACCGGATAGAAACAAAAAAGTAAACAAAAAACATGTGTAAATAGGAGGGGATATGGATGTACCTGTCCGGGCACAACTGTATCTAAATCTGAAATGCTTATGCTTGTACACTCGAACGATTCTCTGCGTTTTAACGGCTAAGCAGAATCCCCTTGAAAAGTAATCGGCATGCACGATTTTCTTTATAGCAGCAAATTCTAGATAAGCAGAAGAGCATTATTTTAAAGTTTTTAAGAGATTTTATAATGCATTATGTAGCAAATTGAAAATACAAGTTGACTCGGTATATATACGTAAAAATCTTCAACGGCCCTGTCATTTTTGAAATGTAGTTAAAAAAATAAAATTTCCAAATACTAACTACTAACTTAATTAACATAGAAAACTGCAGAAGGCACTTACCACTACTAGTAATGTCTTGTTCTTTCGATTTTTTCTTTGTCTTCTTGAAAACTGCACCCTGTAATGCATTTTGTAACAATCTGGAAGAAATTCCTTCTACAGGAATTCTGTGAAGTTTCTCAGCTCTCTTTTTACTGAGCTGAGCTCTCAGATCTCCTAAAACAATAGAAATTAATTTCATATGTGATAAAACATAAAGAGCAAAACTACAACGGAAAATAATTCTGTAAAAATGGACGGACTTTGCGACAAGTTATTTTAAAGCCATTACACATAATATATTTTTTTGATATCTATGCAGAAAAAACCCTCAAAAACATTTTCGAGTGGTTTTAAAGAATTTATATATTTCACATAATTAATCCACATAAAAAATTTATAAAAATAACATACAAGGTGTTTCAGGAATAAGTGGACATGTTCCTCATGTAAAAATAAATAAAAAAAAGTTATTTAAACGTAAGGCCGAAAACGCTTCGTTTGGTGTCGAGTATTTCAAAAAATACTAAATTTTAATATTTTGAAAGCGAATAGAGATGTTTAAGTAAAACTTGGTGACAGTTTGTCACTGTCTCAGAAATAAATATTACTGGCCACCAGTGGAGGAGATAGGAGTGGCGTTCCATTTAATTCAACAAATAAAATAGTACAGTACTGTAAAAAATGATGACTGATGCTATTTGTGAATGTAATTTTATCCTGATCAAAAATTGTCTCTTGTTTTTTTTTCATGTTTGCTACCTTTCCCTGGTAAATACAGTTTATTTAAGTTCACCTCACAAACTTGTTTATGGTTATTAGTAGAGACCGCACTTCGTTCGCACATCTCAGGTCCGTACTTCAGCCGACGGCGACGCACAGTGGAACGAAACGCCACTGTCGCATTCAAGTTACTCTACACCCCACATAGTTCAACTATTTCGGGTGATTTTTTTTTCAAAATGTTCGTCTTGAATGTCCCTATCGAACTCTCATTTGGGATTTTTTATTTCGGTCTTAATTTTTTTGAAAATTTCCTCCAAAATTCGATTTTTATGAAAAAAAAAACTGATTTTCGGCGCAAATGTGGTCCTACATGGCGCAAGTTCATGTTTTTCGAATTTTTTTTCAGCTGAAAATCTTCGTTTTGATAAATACTGCAAAACTGTCTACGTGAAAGTCGGGAGAAAATTTTTTCATATTCGCAAAAACGGTCATAATGTTCCAAAAATTTTCGTGGAGAAGCGATTTTTTAATTCGAAATTTCGCAACCTGGGGAAAAATTAGATGAACCAAAAGTTGTTTAGAATCACTCGAGGAATACTCAAAAAAATTTTCCTGAATTTTTGGATATATTTCAAAATTTTTTGATTTGGAAATTTTTTGAAATGTCCCAAAATGTGTCCAAAAATTCTGGAAAATTTTTTTTAGTATTCCTCGAGTGATTCTAAACAACTTTTGGTTCATATAATTTTTCCCCAGGTTGCGAAATTTCGAATTAAAAAATCGCTTCTCCACGAAAATTTTTGGATTTTGACCGTTTTTGCGAATATGAAAAATTTTTCTCCCGACTTTCACGCAGACAGTTTTGTAGTATTTATCAAAACGAAGATTTTCAGCTGAAAAAAATTTCGAAAAACATCAACTTGCGCCATGTAGAATCACATTTGTGCCGAAAATCAGTTTTTTTTTTTCATAAAAATCGAATTTTGGAGTCAATTTTCAAAAAAATTAAGACCGAAATCAAAAATCCCAAATGAGGGATCGTTAGGTACATTCAAGACCAACATTTTGAAAAAAAAAATCACCCGAAACAGTTGAGCTATGTGGGGTGTAGAGTAATTTGAATGCGACAGTGGCGTTTCGTTTTCGAAACAAATGGTTTTTTAGCGATAAACGCCACAACCTAACGCCTGAACATTTACAGCAGTTGCTGGTTATTCAGTTTTACTTCAGCACTGCAAGTGAATATGTGTAGAGCTCAGTGTAGAGTGTTTTGTAAACTAATAAACTTAATATGAAGTGGATATTATAAATCGTCAGTACAAGGTAAGACTTTGATTTTTACTTTTTATATGGTGTTTGCACCTCAGTTTCTACAGAGTTTAACTTAGCGTCCTGAGTCCGCCCCTGATAATAACGTCATGTGCGAATGAAGTGCGGTCTCTAGTTATTAGTTAAGAAGTAAGTAGGTTGCTGTTTAATAATGTCAAATAATCCCTCGGTAATAAGTAAAGGCATCGTTGTTGCGTGTATCATTTTGTAAAATTCAAATGCCGTCAATATTTCCAAATGTTGAACTATTCTTTTGGAATCTTTACCACCCCGTACTTCGAAAAAGAAAGTTTTCAGTATTATGTTTATAAACATTTTTTTTAAATTATTTTTACCTAAAACCCATCTCCCTACAGTTTGTCGACTTAATCCTGAAACACCCTGTATATTAATAAAAGGTATTTGTTACTATTTTTTTTAAAGCACTAAGTTTAGTTTGTGAATCTGAGTGTCAGTGGCCACTGACATCAACCTAGTTTTGGTGAACTACATAATATCAATGCACCTGATGAGATATGACAACAAGAAGCTAGGCAGACAAGAAACAAGTTAATTACAAGAAAGGAGAATGGCCGAATATGTCACCGCTTCATTATATTACATTTAATTTTCAGTTTATTGGTTTACAGTGTGTTTGTAATACGAAAGGCCATTTGGTTTTTACTGGAATCAAATAAAATTTCCGTTTTATTAAGTTTGATTTTATGTAGTGTGTATAAACATATAGTTATTTGTTTTAATGTTTAATGACGGTATGATGTATGTGCTTTCACTGTTAAAAAACATGTATGCGAATCAAGGAAGCTGGCACGAGATTGACATTAGAGTAAAATAATGTTTTAAGTAAAAACATATTAATTCTGGTATTGAAAAAATATTGTGAAAACAAATATTGAACAAACTCACCTTCACTAACCAGGGAATTTTCGTCGTCACCACTATTATTTTCCACTACAATTTCAGGCTCCTCCTCTTCTTCCTCCGTCTTCCCCTTATTGAGCTCTACTTTCCTTTTAACTTCCTCCCTCAGTTTTTCTTCGCCATCCTTATTAAACTTAAATTTACCAGTGCCGCGTTCATATTTGGAAGGATTCTTAATTTTTATTTCAATTTTCCTTTCAAATCTCCTTTCCATCGGGGTGACGTGTCGATCGTTCTTTATCGAAATTTGAGATTTGGCGTGCGACTTGTCCTGAGATTCGGATTTCTTCGGACCAGGCTTGCGGTCTCCCTCGCCCTTGGCGTTTTCCTTAGCAATATCTTTTCTTTCAGCAGGCGATCGACCCCTGGTACGTGACTTACCGATTCTGTCCCGTCTATCCCTTCGCCTTTCACTCCTCTTAGTATCCGGTAAAGGTTCCGCTTTAATTTCCCTCTTCTCTCCGTTCATAAGTTTGGTGAAGGACAAGACTGGTGGTTTTGTACTGGTGCCTTCTTTGACTTTAAACCTACCCTCATTGTCGCTTGCTGAATCTTCGTCAGAGAATATATCTGCCACCTTTGGATTCACTTCGATATCATCCGCCTCGAGCATAGGATCTTCTTTGAGGAGATTTTCCAGCTCTTCAATTACATCCAGTTCTTGCGGCTTTTCTGTCTTTATCTCGCTGGATTTCTCTTGTACAACGTCCTCCAGTTTAGAGGTAGAAACTTGGTGCAACACTGAAACTACATCTGACGCTGGTATAGATGTGGATATGGAGTCCTCTTCTAGTTTCTCCTCTTTCGGCTTCAGACGAATGATTCCCTCTCTAATTTTTATTTCATTACTTTCAAATTTCCTCTTCCTCGCCTCTAAAATAGGGTCCAATGGTTTGTCGTCTTTCTTCGAAGTAGACTGAGTGTTTTTCGGCTTATCCTTGACGTCTTCAGTCTTATTTTTAAGCCCCAACCTTTCTCTTACCGGAGCTCTGTTTTTAGGAGAGTTATCTGCAGTCCTGCCTACAGTTCTCCTTCTGGGTGACAAAGACCTTCGTTTAGGCGACAAAGATTTCCGTCTAGGAGACCTTCTTGGCGACCTCGATATCCGCCTAGGGGACACGGACCTTCTGGGAGATCTTCTTGGAGTTAATGACCTTCGAGGGCTTCGAGAGGTACTCCTAGATCTGGAATAAGACCTACGAGGTGACCGTTTTCGTCTTTCGATAATAGCCTTGTTTTCAAGCACAAACGCTGCGCTTCTAGGTGAGAGAGGAGCGAGGGTAGCCGTTGTGAGAGATTCTGTGTTAATCGCTAAAGGCGACAATGGTCTTTCAAAAAACGGAGGGGGCTGACTAATCATACCGATGCTTGGAGGAGCAAACAATGGATTGAATGGAGGGTTAGGGAACTGATGCACTGGGGGTGGATATGAGCCTATAGGAGGCAAAAAAGGTATATTTTGTAATGGGGAATTTTGAAATTTGTGAAAATTCCTTGGCCTTCGTCTATTTGAAAAACCTCGACGGTTTACTGGAGACCTGGATCTGTGACGTTTCTTTGCCGGACTATACGTGTCACTGAACACAGGCTTGTTTTCAACACTAGGTTCATCACTAGATTGTTTTTCGGGGGTTTGATGTTTAACTTCATCCTCAGTGCTGACTTTATCAACATAAGTATGCCTGATAACTTCCACATTTGTGTCACTTTCTGGTTTTTCAGCAACCTGATCAGGAGGCTTAGCATCGGAATCTGATGTCGACACTCTATCACATGCAGTTCGGTTTTTCTTTTTTATTTTTTTTACCTTCTGTTTTTCACTTCTTGCAGGTAAGTTTCCTTTGGGTTTACTTTTCCCTTGTATCTCATCATCCAATTCTTGCATTAGCGCTTCCAAACTGTCAGCTTTATGCAGTTTTCCTGGACTATCGTCTTCTGAAGCAGATTCCTTCTCTTCCTCAGATTCACTTTCTGATTCATCCGACTTATTATAACGGCTAAATTTGCTGGTTCCTTCTTCTTTTCCCGTTTCTTGTGTCGTTTCATCACAATATTTACGCTGAGGCAAATTTACTATTACCCCACTATCTGCAGTTTCTTTCTGTTGAACTTGCTTCTCCTCAGACGCCATGGTAGGGATTGAGATTAGATTAGAATTTCGGTTTCTATTGTTGAATTGTCCCTAAAAAATATTTTCTCAAACATTCATCCATATTCATTGACATATGACCTAATACCATATATTCAAATTGTACTTACGTTTTTCCCATTCCTCCCTTGATGTGGTCCAAAAAATCTACCCCTCTTATTCTGCAACACTTTCATTGACCTGTTAAAACGATTAAATTTCTCGGGACTTCTCTGTGGCGTATGATGGGCATGCAATGAATCATATAATGATGCGTTTTTCTTTTTTATAGTTCGCAAAGCAGCTAAACGTAAAGCTTCTAAATCTTCATCATCAGAGGTGGAAAGCTAAAAATGTATCAAGGGTTTTAATATTGATGTTAAATTACCGAAAAATTAAATACATAATTTTTAAAAATCAATGCACTTAGTTTACCTTCTTCGAATCGCCCATAACTCAAGGTTTATATAATTTTTGTCGACAATCAAAAAGTATAACAATATGGCGCTGAATATTTGACAGTTTGTCAATTTGACATTGACAACACCACACCACCAGTAATGCCAGATGAATTTGGGTCAGTTAGTAGTGGGCAAGATCCGCTTTATACGTATAAATCATACGGATCTCTAATGGGAATCGATTCATGCGGATCCCGATGCAAAAATAATTTCGTATGTTTCGAATCACCGCATCAATGTGAGTTGAGAGTTGAGACTGAAGTGAAGTGAATCGGTATCAACTGATTCTCGTATCCGATACTGTGCAGGGACTCCCAAAATGTCGATTCGATGATTCCGAATCGAGATCGAAATAATGTCGATATATCGGTACCATTTATCTAGGATCGGTACTCTTGAAAATTTTACTATCGAAATAATATCGAAACCCCGCCCATTCGAATCGATATAATATCGAGGAGTCTTGGCTAGCCGAAATGATTTGCTCTCTTCTTCTATCACATGTATTGACTACTGCTGTTTCGTTTCAACATTACAAATATGCACGTGTTTGCATTTGTGTTTTGTTTATTTTTACGTATTTAACCTAATCCAATGTAAAGTGTCAAATACTTGTTTATATATAACGAGCGTTCAAATAAAAACGTGGTCGAAGTTGGCTCTGACACATTGTACGTAGGGAGTAGCTTATAGCGACCAACTTAACCTCATTTCTCAACGACCTGTATAGCAGCTGTCAGTTTCAATAACGTTAATGACTATATAACTTTATTTTATTTATTTAAACGATAGGAGAACAAACGCAAATCTTTTTTTAACACTGTGTGGCAGGTACCGACTGATACTCCCACAATTTGTGATAAAACACGTACAGAAGTTCTTGGCGCATTTTCCATTATTTGTTGGACATTTTCTTTTAATTCTTCGTCCGCTTTTTAGGTCGGCCGCTTCCTTCTTTTCTTGTTACACTGCCCGTTTCACGAAAAACATTAACACAACGCTGAACTGCACTTTGAAAAATTTTGTACTCGACAACGCCGGGAAATTGATTTTGAAATTCTATGAAACATTCCTCAATAGAATACTTCCATATTCCATCAATCTTGCGTCCATTTCTAAAGTAGGACTCTATGATAAACACTTTTTGTTCTTGAGAAAACACCATTTTAAACGCTTTTTAAAACGAAAATATTCAAATTGATAGCGGCGATATAGCGCTTTGACAGATTACGTTTAAGTTCATTTGCTATACGCTACGCCCTACGTCCAAATTTTCAGAACCAACTTGACCACGTTTTTATTTGAACGCTCGTTATATTATATTTATAACTATTTGAACAGTTTTTTAATGATATACATTTTCTGTTAACATAATTATGTTCTTTAGGAGCAATCATCGATATTAATAATAATGGTACTTATGCATTAAATAAATATAAATATTGCATAATATTACAAATCTCGTTCTTGTCATGAGTGTGTATTTACCGGAATATTTTTCTCTAAGTTGGTGAACATTTTATCCAATTGTTGGGGAGGTTTTAATAAATAACTTAAGTTATTTATGTGACTTATTTCTTTTTTCTTTATACCTCTAATAGTTTGTTGACTTGAAGCAAGAAGTCTACTCATTCCAGTGATGTTTACCGTGCATAAAACCAGAAAGCACAAAATAATTTAATGTTGAATTGAATAGTTTTCGAAGTTCTTTTTACTTCTTTTAAATGTCAAACAATAAAAAGATTAATAATGGATCCATTGAACCTCTTTAACTATCTTCTCCAAATATTTTCAATCCTAAATGCTTCTCATCGCTCTAATGTTTCAACAATAATTATAATCACAGGGGTAGTATTTTTTGTTTTTTATTTCAAATCGAATAAAAATTAAGGATGTGGAATATCTATAATTTGTTGAGTATGTACCTACGCATAAGACGTTAATCAACTTTCATGGTTTACTGTTTTCTCGTAGAATAAATAAATAATTTTATAAACTTCTGTTTATTTATTTGATGATAGGTATTAATTTTAAAATTTAAATAAACAGCATGACGCCGCCGCCGGACAAAAAGAGATAGATAGTTGAAATACGTATGTTAGACAGAAATAAATATATCACTCAGTTGCCTTAACCGTGGTGGTATACAATATTACCCCAAATTTGCCGAACTTATCCGAGGACTATATCGATGTGCTTCAAGAGTACCAATTTATATTTCGAGTCGAATCGATCGAGATTGGCTTCGTAATTATCTCGATATCGATAAAACGACATCGAGATTTCAGGAGTCCCGCTACTGGAATGAGTAAGTCGGAGGCGCCCACATACCGGGAATCATACGTATACCGGTATAAGAATAATTTCGTTCGCATCACCACATCAATGCGAATTGCGAATGATTTGAAGTGAATCGGTTTCAACGTTACAGGTCGATGAAATACCACATGCACATACTTGTATACCGGGTAGGAAAGTACCGATGGTCTATCTGAAGTTACGTGAGAGCGATAAAGTAAGCCATAGAAATCCATGTGATAAACAAGGATGGGTATAGTGAAGGCGTCTAATTGTCACCGCCCATTTCGCCCTTCCACAAATAAAAAGTGGATCTTATTTGTGGAAGGGCGAAACGGGCAGTGACTATGAGACGCCTTCATTATAGCCATCCTTCTCTACCGCATGGATTTCTATGGCTTACTTTATCGCTCTCACGTAACTTTAGATAGACCATCGGTACTTTCCTACCAGGTAGAAGTTGTGAGATACCATGTATTAGAAACAGTTTAGTGCACAGGGAACTAAATATTGAAATGATTGATTATGAAATTGTCGAACAGTGGAGTCTGAAACAATCTTATAATGTAAAAAGTAATTGTCAGAATGATGTGTATTTCGTATTTAAATGTTGTACCCTTTGACAGAAAATAAATTTTAACATTATTAAATTTGTCAATTAATTTCACTAGAAATTATTTGATGCTTTCTCAACTTGAGGTCAAATATATTATTGCTTCGTTTCTGAAGTTAGTGGTTCTGCTAAAAAATGAATTTATAAATGATTGCAAAAAATTGGCAAATCATGCCCTGGTATTATTAATTTATAAATTAATAAATAAAACACAAAAGCAATTTGTGCTTTGACTGCTGCTGTACCTTGTAAAAAGAGAAGCAAACTATAAATGTCAGATTTTATATGCAAAAAGGGGTGTTGCACTTCATTTGTTTTCTCTGAAGTTATTCACCTGTACTGTTTCTTCGTGTAGCGTCCATGTCCTACGCCTTCATACTTAATTAAATCGACCACGTTAATTAAAAAATCTCATGCTGCCTAACACTCATCCGTTCGAAGTGCTTTGAATGTATTGTTTTGACACTCATTTTACTTCGGTGCAAGTCCGCTGAGTGACTCTACCCATCGCTTAACACCTCAAATAAAAGAAATAAAAACACATTTAATCCAAAACATCTATTTTATATATTTTTTAATGTTCTGAAAATGACGTGGACAATTTCAAGGTACGCCCCTGCCACGGTACATTGTTACAACAGTTCCGATAACAGAACTTTATTGGCTTATTCTTTTCTTAAAACCGTAAGTTTTTATATCAAATGTAAGTAAAAACCGGCACTTGTTGTATGCATACTTTATTTTTAAGTTTACACAATACATTTATTTCAATCAGTCATAAAAAATAACAAATTCAGATTTGTCTATAGACGGATAACAAAAGGGCGTTTTGTTATCACAAATTATAAAAACAAAACCGCGGGAAAGATACAATAGCATACACATAGAAAATATTTCACATAGAAAATATACCTAGATACAAAAAAATTAGCCGCCTTAATTTTAGGGGGGGGGGCTACCGAGAACAGTTGGTAACGTTGCAAAAAAATTACAATTTTTTCATGCTATTAACTTATTAAACTGATAATTTTCCATGTCCAATCCAAAATGATGTAGCCAACCATTCAACGTCGCCAACTAGTTCCGGTTGCAGCCGAGTCTTAATTAAGAAAAGGGAACTAAAACAGCCTTTCGAGTGGAGATATTACGAAAAAAAAAACATCCTAATCCGATACGTCCTGGTCCTGGTTTTAATGTAAAACAAATTTTTCCCTAAAAATAAAGAACCCTGCGATGCTTTTGCTCACAGTAGCGGATGTTGGGGTGGCCGGTGACGAGAATTTTTGAAAAAGGTTTTCAGGACGACTGAAGACGTTACAAAAAATTCCCGGCACACAAATAAATATACAGTCCCTGTAGTAACGTACAATTTTAACCTAGGCTTATACTCTAAAATTCGATTAGAGAGTGAAATGGCGTCATGAGTTGGCGCTTAGCTTCTCCATGCGTGAACTGAGTTCCTGGGCGATGGCGGAGCCCTTGGGGGTGTGTTGTTGGGGCGCCGTGCAGGAGCTGCGGGTGCATTCTCCCGTCCAACGAGCCCTACCGCTGGCGTGCGACTGTAAAAAAAGAAAAACGGATCGTTAGGTGCGGAGGCGAGGAACAGAAGTGTCGAAAAACGGCGTGGTTGTTATTTACAAGGTGTTCCAGGATGAATTCGCCAAATTTAAAATTTGAATTCAGGTTCTTCCACAGGATTTGTTTCTGCTGATCCGAATTCAAATTTTAGGTTTATCCTGATGCACCGTGCTGTCCACATTTTTTCTCCGACTTTCCTCTCGATAACCTACCATGGACAGGTCCCTCTTCCACGACGTACCACAGGTTCCTTCACAGACGGGGCATGGACGTTCCAGGGCATAGCCCCCGCATTCGCTACAATCGAGGGAGACGTGGCTGTCGGCCCAGGAGACGCCACAGCTAAAGCAGCAGTTGAGCTGGTTGCGTAGCTCCTCGATGGTCATGACGGCTTCGGAGTGCATCTGGGCGCCCCAGCATGCGTCTGCGATGTCGTCCAGGCTGTGGCTCAGGGTGGTCAGTGAACTGGAAATGGAAAAGTATGGTGTGACTCGTGTTATTTCAAATAAAAGAGAATATTTTTCTTGGTGCGAGATGTCCCGCATTGTTATACTTGGACCCGGTGATAGAACTTCTTCGAAGTAAGACAAAAGTGACCCATCCAAGTGGGTCAATAAATAGGTTGGTTTTCTAGATACAGGGCTTTCATTCATGTTAAAACCTTCACCTTTCCCAGAACCACTTATTATCTCTCTTATTTGAAATTCAAACATTTTTATATTTTAACACAAAATTGTTACCTGCAAGTGATTATTTTGATCTGATTAAATTTGATTTTAGTCATAAGGCATCCAGTTTTTTAATTAAAAAAGGGTGGATTTGATATATAATTATACGAGGTGATTCACAAATGGTGACCAAAAATGAAACCTCGTATTCTTTCGTGAATTCTAAGGGGAGTCTCGTATAAAGTTTAGTTAAAAAGATACGGGTGTTAAACTTCAAGAAATATTTTTAATTTTTTTTAATCATTTAAAAACTATTAAGTGAAATAATTTGAAATTCGGCACATATATTTATGTAAACACTGTCCAAAATCTGAGGACTTTTCCTAAAATTTACATGTTCCAGTGGCGGAGATACAGGGTATCGGTGGCATTTTTTTCTAAATAAAATAGTACACCACTGTTTTACGCTAACAACCGTGATATTTTCGGATTCGTCTTTCAATTTTCTAGAAATTACTACTCTCTTATGTTTTTCGAAAAAAGCCTGATTTTCGAGTCGGCCGTTTTTGAGGATGTTTGGAGGAATTTTTCACCTATTTCGCATCACTTTATTGGAAAATTTGAATATACGTTTTGTAGTATTATACTTTTACTTTTAAAATCCGGCTAAAAATTAATATGAGACCACCTCCAACGCATCCAGAAACTTTGCATAAAAAAATTCAAATTACAATTACAAAATATATCGATCTCGTTTTATTTGTATTTTGATTCTCTACAAATTGTCTCTTTATAGCATTTAGACTGCTTCGTTAGTTTAGGTTTTATAAGCAAAAAACTGAAAAATAGATATTTTTGCATAAAAAAAATAAAAATTAATTAAAGGTAAATTGGAGTAGGACATAATATGTATATATCTACAAACTGTCTTTTATATGATGGCACAGTCCGTTTGCTACTATTATTACTGACACAAACAAAACCTCTATTGATTGGCCTAATATTATATTTCACAATCCTTATAGTCCAATTAACTAAGCCTTTAAATCGAAATTTTGCCAACTTGGCTGAATTTTTGATATGAGTTAGTTTAAGGTATATTATAACAATAAGTGAGAGTAATTTTTTGTTCAACCCCCGGCCAAGGGTGGAAAAAGATAAAACAAAGGGCTTTTTCAAGATAACTCAAAAAGGGTAAGAGCTAGAAAAAAAAGTTTTTCATGAAAGTTGTAAAGCAGACAATTCTACATAAAAATGGCCTCTTAACTTTTTCTTGTACTATTACAATTAACAGAGTTAGGGAGGCTAGAAGTTAAGGGAAGATTTCAGAAATTTAAAAAAAATCATAACAAACAGAAAAATGATTGAATTTTGTAATTTTTTTTTTCAATCTGCTCTAAAATATGTAACTTTTCTTTTCAGAGAAATAGATATATTTTTTAATTTTTAATAAGAAAGTTATAACAAAAAATCAAATTTTTAATCGTTAATTTTAATGATTTAACAAAATTAAATTTCTGAAATCTTCCCTTAACTTCTAGCCTCCCTAACTCTGTTAATTTTAATAGTACAAGAAAAAGCTAAGAGACCATTTTCATGTAGAATTGTCTGCTTTACAACTTTCATTTTCTAGCTCTTACCCTTTTTGAGTTATCTTGAAAAAGCCCTTTGTTTTATCTTTTTCCACCCTTGGCCGGGGGTTGAACAAAAAATTACTCTCACTTATTGTTATAAACTAACTCATATCAAAAATTCAGCCAAGTTGACAAAATTTCGATTTAAAGGCTTAGTTAATTGGACTATTAGGAACGTCTCTCTACCAAAGAGTGATATATCTTTAAAAGTGCTCAACCAAACCTTTAGTTTTATTTACTTTTGTGAAACCTGTCAACTATTAAAGTTAGATAAGCTTTCCTTGTTACTTGTTTAATTATTATTCATCTAATAAACATTGAATAAATTTGTCTGCCCCTAAAATTTTCACTTTTATTGAAAATATTCATACCAAAAGGTATATTAAAAGGAACAAATAATGTGAAAATATACATAACTAAATGAATTATTGACAAAATTTAAATAATTTGTTTTGAAAATTGATAATTTTAGACAAAAACGCGAGAAAATTTTTGTGTTAGGAAGTCCAAATTGGCCTTAAATAAGTAAAAAAAATTGTCGCACTAAGAAAGATGGAGAAAAGCTTTACATAGCTTCCTCCCTCAGTCTTATCCGCCCTGACTGATTTACTTTATTTTTAGAGAAATTCTGTCACCCAGTAAAATCTGGCTTACGCTGTTCGAGGCACCCTGTATAAACACTTATAAAATTTATTATCCAGTACCGCCATTCGGATACGAAAAAATAAATAAATGCTAAGGAACGACACGTTAAAATATCGCGTAGTTCCTAGTACGGAAAAGGAAGAAAGCATTATTAAGACCCAAACAAAAATCAAATGCAAAATCTAAAGCTCAGACTGCTTTACGTTGAAATTCAAAATATTTAAAGATTAATAATAACTTACTACAAATGTGAAAACATTTCTCTTACCTTTTCAATAGTTGGTGAAACTAAAAAATGTCAAATTGACAGATTCACATATAGGGGGGTATTGCGGCAACAAAAAATTTATTAGAGTGGTAAAAAAATAATGCTATTTTGTTTATATGAAAAATATTTTTTAGAAGCAAATTTTAGGCATACCGTTTCCAAAAAGCAATATATTTCATTGAAATTTGGCACAGGCAAGTTCTTAAGTCAGTCGGTGTTGGTTTTTGACCATCTGCTAGAGGGTGCTAGCTTACTGTTTTTCTCAGTAACAATATTTTGTTAGTTTTTTTTTAACAGCGAATGCCTTGACGTCTCAAAAACAAAACAAGATAGGCCCTTGGTTTGTTCAATGGAGAAAATCTAAATGTTCTTAACTAATTCCGCTACAACCTGTAGGTATATCGAAGACATCCTCAGACCCGCCCATGAGTGTCGGAAGAAATATGTTATCTTACGTAACAATCCGCCTGCACCGACAGAAAAAAAATCATCATTAAATACCTTTCTAGTATGCGTCAGGGATTGCGAAAGGGAAACCTTCGGATCGCACAACAAAGGAATTGCACAACGCTATTTTCTCGGCGCGGACAGAGATTGTAATACCCGAGATGCTGTATTTGTGATTATTTTATTGAAACGATATTGATGTGATGACAGGAAGGATATGGGTGGTTTTCGTCACACATGAATAACTGGACATTATCTGATCAGAAAATTTTGCACGTGTCATTATTTATTACACTGATTACTTTTATAACCCTATTTTAACACTGAGCAACAAACTGACTCTTTTGGGGCACCTTTTCGTAGATCAAAAACATTTTGGCGTCATATTATTTTAATAAATAAATAAACAAAATTAGTACTGCGGTCTAAGCTCTAATATTTTCCGTTTATATATTATGCACACCAATAATGTCGTGAATGGTATTTTCCATTTGTATTTTATAAAAATCGCACAGTCGTTTACTAAATTTCTACCCAAAAATTTTTTCAACTAGATTTTCCTGTAACGATAATTACCTGCGACTTGAATGCAGTTCGGCTGGATGAACGCTGGCGAGAGACATGGTGCTTGGCACTATAACAAAAAAAAAAACAGTAATTAGTGTTATTTAATTATTATTTGAAGGGTTAGTTAAACCAATTGTCTGGAAAATCGTAACACTCGACTACAGCCGACGTAATCGAGCTAATACGGTTAAACAAACAATTTATAATATTCGACACTCAAAATGAACCGTTCAACTGGGCCTCCCCATGATACACATCAGTCGATAATCAATTCCAGTAATTGCCTTAACGTTCCAATAGAACACGTATTTGTTATTTTATGTAATTTGCTTATCATTATCCAGTTCTGATTTGCGTTCTCGAAAAATTTTCTGGAATAGAACATGTTAATTAATTATTAGCGCTTTATCTCTTATCTCATTTCCTACGCATCGTTATTGTTTATTGTCGGGTCATTCTAACTATTCGCGGATTTTCAAAACGAAAATTCTAGAATAAAAAATTACGTGGCATTTCCAGGACTATCCAGAAACTTATTACAATCTGATTAAAATTACAGATTGTCCCAATCGCCCCCACAATAGTAATAATAACAACCTTGCAACTAAAAATAATTACATTTAACTCCACTTTATTTACGATTTTCGAGGACGAACCCCGGCGCGTGAACTAATTAAAATAAAATCTATTGGTTTTCTGGAACCCCGAAGCTTATATTTATGTATAGGTACACTTGGAAAAGAAATTGTCCCAACATACAATAGCACTATAGTCACTTGTGCTTACATGCACTATCACTACTAGGAGTTGGATTAGGAACATTAATTTAATTTTTACACCCTCCCCGATTCTCTGTCTGACCAAGACTGTCCCTTTTATTTCTGACTCATCTTACATTTCTTATAATATACAGTATACTACAATAATTATGTAGAAATAACTCCGGTAGGTAGTATCAAATAATTTCAAACTATTTTCTTTATATCGACTCAAGTATTTCTTGACATTTGTAATTGTTAATTTGAGTATGTGCCTACGATTTCACGTTATGGCTATGAAATAGGATCGGAGAGAGTCACATAAAAAATTATTAATGTTTATTTACTTATAAGAAAAAAAAAAGAATGATAAAAACATCTTGTGACTGTATCACCCAAATATGCGTGGTATTTTTGTTTGATAACGAGGATGATTCATAATTACAACCACTTCTTTCCGAGATGACCTGATGAAAGAAGTTTGTTTAGTGATATCGAATAACAAGTACCGGAATTAGCAACGGCTCGGCTGTTCAAAACCAGGACATGCCATAATTATTGTCCACAATGTTGTGCATTGAACTCACTCCAGAATAGGAAGGTCAATTTGTTTCATATTCACATTGAAGTTGACACAAAACTAGTGCATTATTTATCGGAATTCAAATTGCATATGCAAGTTTCGTTCCAATTTTTCTTGGTATACTTCTTATTAAATAAAAAATTTTTGGTTTTTGAGTTACAAGCCTTCAAAAATTTGGTACGTTTATTTGGACCATTATTGCATATTATTTCTTAAAGCTTTAGTCAAATCGATGTACTGGGTGATAGTTTTCTCTTGTTACCTCTCACTTTTAGCGGTCAAAACTTTTACAGTAGTCGTATTTTTATAAAGCGGGCAGCAACATTGAAAAGGTCGTTTTATTTAAAAAAAAATATTGTCTCTTGAGAAAATCGCCTACAGAAATCCATTCTTGAGAAAAATGGCATTATTTGCAGGTGTGTAGATGAAAACAAGATGTTGATTATTGTGGCTATCAGGTAATGTGATTACTCTCGTGTTTCTTTAGTATTCTCATTACTCCGCACATGCAAATTATGAAAATTTACAACTCCGTTTAATTGTCTTGTTACACTGCGGACATTTCATAATTTGCATGTGTAGAAACACGACAATAATGACATTCCCTGATAGCCACAGCAATCGACATCTTGTTTTCATCGCCTACTGAACCAGTTTTAAATCCGAAACGTACAGACCTGCAAATAATGTAATTTTTCTCAAGAATGATTTTCTGTAGGCGATTTTCACAAGGGACACAATTTTTTTTGGTAATTATTTACTTTAGTGGCACCACCTCCAATTTTCGCGAAATTTTGTCAACCCCCCTATTTTCGATGATGCTGAACACGAATCTGCAGTTTTTTTTGTGCGGTCGAACCTAGTTCTCGAGAAAAAAATTTTTCAAAATTCTAACCTGGATATTTCANCCATAATTATCGTCTACAATGTTGTGCATTGAACTCACTCCAGAATAGGAAGGTCAATTTGTTTCATATTCACATTGAAGTTGACACAAAACTAGTGCATTATTTATCGGAATTCAAATTGCATATGCAAGTTTCGTTCCAATTTTTCTTGGTATACTTCCTACCCTTCTGTTAATCTCTCGTTTGAATGCTGATTGTTGACTAGTTATTATTATTATTGTCTCCGTCAGGCAGCGGACATGGTTGCAGTAAATTTTAATTGATAATTATTATACAGGGTGTCCGCAAATTTCACCGACAACGTTTAACTGCACATTCACGACGATAAATAAAGACGATCTACGAAAAAAAAGTTATATAAAAAATTGTTGGTTTTTGAGTTACAAGCCTTCAAAGTTGTCAAAAATAAAAATAATTTAATTAATAACTTCATAACCCATAACATTTATTTGGACCATTATTGCATATTATTTCTTAAAGCTTTAGTCAAATCGATATACTGGGTGATAGTTTTCTCTGGTTACTTCTCTCCTTTAGCGGTCAAAACTTTTACAGTGGTCGTATTTTTTTAAAGCGGGCGGCAACATTGAAAAGGTCGTTTTATTTTAAAAAAATATTGTCTCTTGAGAAAATCGTCTACAGAAATCCATTCTTGAGAAAAATGGCATTATTTACAGATGTGTACGTTTCGTTTAAAACTTTGAGTTCAGTAGGCGATGGAAACAAGATGTTGATTGTTGTGGCTATCGGGTAATGTGATTATTCTCGTGTTTCTTTAGTATTCTCATTACTCCGCACATGCAAATTATGAAAATTTACAATTCCGTTTAATTGTCTTGATTACACTGCGGACACTTCATAATTTGCATGTGTAGAGTGATGAGAATCCTAAAGAAACACGACAATAATGACATTCCCTGATAGCCACAGCAATCGACATCTTGTTTCCATCGCCTACTGAACTCAAAGTTTTAAATCCGTGACACAGCTATACAAACCGAAACGTACAGACCTGTGAAGAATGCCATTTTTCTCAAGAATGACTTTCTGTAGGCGATTTTCTCAAGGGACACTATTTTTTTTAAATAAAACGACCATTTCAATGTTGCTGCCCGTTTTAAAAAAATACGACCACTGTAAAAGTTTTGACCGTTAAGAGGGAGAGGTAACCGGAGAAAACTATCACCCAGTATATCGATTTGACTAAAACTTTAAGAAATAATAGTTCAAATAAATGTACCAAATTTTAACGCGATCGGTAAAAGGGTTATGAAGTTATTAATTAAATTAGTTTTATTTTTGACAACTTTGAAGGCCTGTAACTCAAAAACCAACAATTTTTTATATAACTTTTTTTTCGTAGATCGTCTTTATATCGTCGTGAATATGTAGTCGGTGAAATTTACGGACACCCCGTATTTTTACTATCTATGTAAAAATATCGACATATTTATTCACATACCTAGTAAGTATATCATTATTTTACATAATATACTTAATAGTTACAAAATCGTAAACCACGTTTTAGCAACTAGTTGCGCGGTAATACCCTCACTTTATTACTTATCGGTCTTATCACGTTCAANATCCTAAAGAAACACGACAATAATGACATTCCCTGATAGCCACAGCAATCGACATCTTGTTTCCATCGCCTACTGAACTCAAAGTTTTAAATCCGTGACACAGCTATACAAACCGAAACGTACAGACCTGTGAAGAATGCCATTTTTCTCAAGAATGGCTTTCTGTAGGCGATTTTCTCAAGGGACAATATTTTTTTTTAAATAGAACGACCATTTCAATGTTGCTGCGACCACTGTAAAAGTTTTGACCGTTAGGAGGGAGAGGTAACCGGAGAAAATTTCCACCCAGTATATCGATTTGACTAAAACTTTAAGAAATAATACGCAATAATAGTCCAAATAAATGTACCAAATTTTAACGCGATCGGTAAAACGGTCATGAAGTTATTAATTAAATTAGTTTTATTTTTGACAACTTTGAAGGCCTGTAACTCAAAAATCAAAAGGTTTTTATTTAACTTTTTTTTCGTAGATCATATTTATTTATCGTCGTGAATATGCAGTCAAACGTTGTCGGTGAAATTTCCGGACACCCCGTATTTTTACTAGGTACCTATTTAAAAATATAATGAATTTCTATAGCAATTTTATATTGACATATTTATTCACATACCTAGATATCATTATTTTACATAATATAATAGTTACAAAATCGTTAATCACGTTTTAGCAACTAGTTGCGCGGTAATACCCTCACTTTATTACTTATCGGTCTTATCACGTTCAAATTATTCAATCCCTAAAAGGTGCCTAGTTTCAACAAATTAAATTATTACAGAAGAAGCGACTTTCATTTCTTTGCTGTTCGTTTGATATTTGTGTCAGTGTTATCGAAACCTATTGTACAATGTATAGGTATTGATACAAACTGTAATTTTGGAAATCGATAAAACTCCAATTAACTTTGATGTGAAATGTGTAATAATTATAAGAACTCACGTTTTTCCACAAACTCGACAAAATTCTGAATCGTTTTCCACCAGTCAAGTCGCGAGTAGGGTTATATCCTCAAGCTTCAAACACTTCAAATGCAATAACTGCAGTACTAATTTCACTTGTATGTATTATACGAGAACAGTTTGCTTCGGCCGCGTGCTTACACACCGCTGTATGAATTCAAACTGATTTTCGTTGCCCACGGAGGCGCAGCACGGGGTATTTCGCTTGTTTCGCGCACGATCGACGTCAAGTGGTGAAATCTCCTGGTGATCTGGTCCACTGGCACTGGAGCA